AAAAAAGAAAAACCAAAAATAAGAGGGGGAAAAGATGGTGTGACGTGAACAAAGAATTGTGAATAGCAAAAGGTGAAGGCAGTGGGAGGGGGAAGCAGTGATGAATGGAAATCTTAGATGCTGATTGAGCTGGGGTGGGGAGCCTTATCCTTAATTCTTTCTTAGGACCGAACTCGGATAGCCTCGGTAACCTATTGTTTAAAATCAAAATGAGGCCACCAAAAATTATTCCTCCCATTTCCAATCTTAAATTTAGTTCTCCAACCAGCAATCTGGCATTTTTGGATGTAAAATTTTATCCAAATATACAGCTTTTTGCAAAGCAATTTTTCCCCATTATTAATGCGATACTTAAGTGATACTTTTTCAAGCATGCCTTCCCCCAATTATATGAAGTTTTTTTTACTATATTGGCTGGGAACTGCATTGCAAAAATTCAGCAGGCATGTAGGAGAGACAATATGGAGTCAGTAGTGAGTTAGGAAGTGCAGACTAGCCTTGTTCTCACTAGGGTTGTTGTAATGGATAGGGTGCGGGAGAGAAGAAACCATGGGATGCTATCTTGAACTCCTTTGGGAGGAAATGGTTTGGATGAAATGTAATTAATAAATAAGTTGCAGTCCGGGGGGTGGAGGGAAAACAGGTCCCCAATCTCACTCCTGCCCCCCCAACACATCTGATTTGTGTAGCGGCCCTCCCGAACAGATTCAGCACCTGGATCTCCCCGAGTCCATTCAGCGGCACTTGCAAAGGTAAACAGATTGACACCTTAGATCAAGTGGAGGCCCTTGTGGCAGTTACCTTTTCCTTACTCTCCTTGATCTTCCCATCTAGTATGATAGCAATAAAGTTACTGACAGCCAGGCCTGGGCCCTAAGCCCTTAAAGCACTGTACAGCACATCAAGAAGAGGGAATCGGAAACGATTCCTTTTTCCTTGTTTTTGCTAAAGCTCCCCATAGCTTGCCTATTCCCTGCTTAAACACTTCTCAGTGTAAATGTTAATTGCTTATGCCCATTCATATGTGGTACAAAGGGAATATGGGACTTACGTTTATGAGGTTGGTACTAGCAGATCAAGCGTCTTTGGTTGAAAGATTCGGGCCAAAACATAGCGAAGATTCTCCTTCTCAGCTCGATGTCACACTGGAGCTGCAGGGACCCCTGCCATTGCCATGGGCCAGGTTGACTATAAAAGGAGAAAATGATTTCACTCACAGACCAGGCCTTCCGTGGCTGGACCAGAGCAAGCTTATATAAGCAAGTATGCCTTTTCTTGAATGATCAAATCCAGATGTCCCAATGGAAGCCCACAGGAAGAGACCACATGTATTCCCCAATATCTGACATTTCAGTTATGCCTCTGATACGGGAAAGGGTAGATTATAGCCAGCTGTTATGATATTAGCCATGATAAAACATACCCTCCACCGAATTTGTATTAAACTTCTTTCTAAGCCTTCTAAATTGGTGCCATCATGAGATTGTGTGAGAAACAAATCCTAATAGCATAACTATTTTATGTGGAAAGTAACTTTCTTTTGGCCTTGACCCCTGCAACTGCAAGCACTCAGCTTTTCTTGGATGGCCCAAGGAAAAGAGCATTATTTCCTTACCCTTTGGGGAGGGTAATTGTTATGAGAAGGGTGTAAGTTATTCCTACTCTGCAGGAAGCTTGAAAAGGGGAAAAGAGAGCACAGTTTGATGAGAATAGCCCCTTCTCTCCATGAGAGGGGAAAGGAAGGGACTGGGCAATGTCAACGGCTTCTTACTAATTCTCTGAAGAGAGAAGCTCTTCCAGAATGGACCAAAAGTACTGAATCAGATCACTGGTTTGTTCTAAGCTCAGTCTGCCACTTGATTGGCTAGTACAGGTTTCAGAAAGGAGGTTCCTTGGAGACATGGAGTATTGAACCAGGGATCTTCTACATACAAAGTAGGTATGTTGCTTTACCACTGAGCCTTGATGAATGCTAATGCAGGGCTATCGGAACCTGTGATCCTCCAGATGTTTTTCTTGATCTCAGAGTCCAATGACCCTAGGCCGGATGTTTCAGGGGATTTATGGGGAAATATAGTCCACAACATCTGGAGTGTCCTGGTCAAGTAAAAGCTGGAAATTTTGCTTCAGTATCTTGCCTTTAAAATGCTGAAATTTGCCCATTTCCATACATCAGTTTTTTGAAAAAACGTATGGGCAGTCTCACTCCCCATTCGCCCATTCATTCCTATTCACGCAATTAGATATTTTAAACCAGACTGCTGCTTTGTCTCCACCTGAGATCAAGTTTGGATTTCCAGGGCAGTGCGATGGATCAAGGCCATCAGCGTAGATGTGAAGTGGACGCTTTCAAGTCATCATTTGAGATTGGCATATTCATCCTTTACCAAGCGCTGAGAGACAGGACAGGCTTCTATCAAGCTGATTCAACTATATTTTCCCCTCCCCAAACCTCATAACCTCGCCACCCACTTCGTAGTACTCAGTTTCGTCCTCCCCAGAGTAAGCTTGGATTACCAAGAGCATGCACATTCCACAATGCTAACTTTTCATATTGCTGACGTACGGTAACCAAGCCCCAGATGGGGAAAATAAATATCCACAATCTCCATAGGTTCCAAACTTATTCCATACATCAGGGGGAGGGGCGTGTTTCTAGGACTAAGTGTGAAAACTTTGAAAGCTCCCTGTTATTTTTGCTATGGGATACAAGCATTGCTGGTTAAGTTAATTTTGTTACGTGGCACGGCTCACAGCCCGACGATGCAATGAGAGCAGCACTCGCGCAATATTTATAGTACTGAAATATGCTTTTGCATTATTATGTTTTTGTTTTGCGATTGTTAATTATTGGAAGTCGTTTTGTAGTGTTTGTTTTGAAATGCATCCCTGTTTATTGTAAGCTGCTTGGAGCATGATTTTCTTCTTTTTTGTGTGCTGCTAAAAGCAGCATACAATTAAAATGAAGGTCATGAATGAATTCTGAGCTCCACTTATGTATTGGAAAACTCTCAGCTATAACCTAAATCTGGTCTTTCTATACCTTAAAACCAATCACCTCTGCATTTCCCTTCCTATGGAACAGAGTGACCAGCGTCTTCTTTCTTGTTTTAGTACTTCAAAAATGTCAGCATGGCAGCATTTTTAAAAAAAAAATCTTTGGCTGGCCTAATAACATACAAAGAGCCTGCCAGGATCAAGCCAACAGATCCATCTTAGGACAACAGCTTTTGCCTTTCACAGTCGCCAGCTAGATGGCCTCTGGGAGACCTGAACAGGACTCTTCCCTGCTTGTTGTTTCCATCACTCGCGTATCAAGAGACATACTATTTATCTACATCTACTATTGGAGATAGTATCATGGCTAGCAGCCATCAATAGTCTTATCATTCTTGCCATTACAGGGTGCTTTTATGCAAAGGTTCATAGTCAAATACCCCCCCACTCAAATCCTGGTTTAATTGTACATTGCCAGGCTTTTCTGGGGGATATGGAATAACTATTAAACAGAGGAGGGACTATTGCTTTGGGGTGGGTGGTGCACTGCCCCGCTAGCCTTTCAGCCTTGCCCTCAACCATGCCCCCAAATGCCTGCCTCTTTCCTTCCCTCCCATCTCTGATGCCCTCTCCACATTCTCTGACCTCCCAAAAAGGCTTGCACGCTGTTTATGTTTCAGCAGCCCTGGCTACAAACTCCCCAGGTGAAGGATGCCTTTGAGGCTAGCCAGGGGGCTGGAGCAGTGGAGGAGGCAAATCTCTTGGGGCGGCGCAGCTCCAGAGACCAAGGGGTGGCAGCTCCAGCTTGCCCAGGATGACTCCTAAGGAGAGGGAGAAGAAAGAAGGCTGAGAGAACAATCCATATAGGGCAGAGGGTTCGAAATGGGGTGAGCGGCTCTGCCAGCTTCAAGGCAAGAGGTGACAGTAATGTGCTGCCTGAGGCTCCCACAGGGTGCGAACCGACAAGATGTAGTCTGGTCAAATGGAAGGCCTCGCTGGACTCAGAAAGAAGGTTGATAAACCTCTACATGAAACCACTTGACTATAACAGCTATGCCTGTTACAAAGCAGTGTCCTCAAAGGTTTTGCATTTCTGAAAGTAGCGAAACTGACAGTGCAGCTGCTTTGGGAGAATAATGCTGACAGAAGAGGAAACAAGGGCATGAAAATAGAGAAAGGTGATAGGTACTTCAGGAATAGCACGCCATCCGTCCTTAGCCATGAGAAAACACACCCTAGCGCCAAAGCAATTCAAAACATGCTGGCTTGAACACAAAGTAGTGGCTAAATCTCTTGTAGCGCTAAGGATTTACGTTTGGCCACAACAGGAATTCCCCTGTTGATGCCCCCTAAACCCTGAACTGGAGATTTCCCTTACCCCTCGGCAAGCACATTAGAAGTGGCATATAGGGTGGGTCTGGGAAAAGAGAAGAAAGTTCCATTTCATTGAATGGGAACGAGGGCATCAGATATCCACCCGTTAAATTCCAATTAAGCTCCCCCCCAACACAGATCAATTTGCCACCCACTTTTGCTGGTCGTCAGCACAGAAAATGGTTAGCCAGCAGAATCCCTACCTTCTTCAAGCAGCCCCATGGTCCAACTTTACTCAGACCAGATCCCACTGAATCCATCTGCAGTGAGTGACAGGGAAAAAGAAAGGGGGGAAAGCTGGAAGTGAAAGAAAAGCCAGTGTGTTGTGTGGTGTGTGTATTTTCTCTAGGAGAAGGCGTGTATCCAATCCAGGTTGGGGGGCTTGGAAATGAGCATCTTCAATTAGGCCCAGAAGGAAGCCTATTACTCCCCCCAAAACCTCAGAAGGACCTGGTTTCTTGTGTTGTTAGTAATCTTGAGGTTGTTATTTCAGATCCATGCAACTCCGCCTGTGAATTTATCTACACTTACTTTTTGCCCTGCTCTGGCGCTTGGCGTTTAAACCACAGAGCCTGGACTTGCCTATCAGAAGGGTCAGCGGTTCGGAATTCCCCGCGACCAGGGTGAGCTTCCCGTTGCTCGGTCCCTGCTCCCTGCCAAGTCCTAGCAGTTCGAAAGCACATCAAAATGCAAGTAGATAAATATGGTTGCAAGCTCCGGCAGGAAGTAACGGTGTTTCCGTGCACTGCTCTGGGTTCGCCCAGAAGCAGGCTTAGTCATTGGCCACCATGACCAGAAGCTGTGCCGCCTGCTCCCTCGACCAAATAAAGCGACATGGAGCCACCGCAAAACCCAGAGTCGGTCACGACTCGGACCTAATGGTCAGGGATCCCTGTTACCTTTACCTTTACCTTTCCAGGCACAAGGTTTGTGCTTTAAAGCTCTGGGTCCAAGCACTTGTATTTTATTTGCCCCAGAAGCTTCCTCACCCAAAAACCCAGTCTTTAAAGCTGAAGTGCCCAACAAACAGAATTTTCAGCAGGATGTTGCTGGACATGGAGCTTAAAACGTGGGGGACATGCCTGGAAAGTACAGAGGGAAAGGTAAAGTGTGGATAAGCCCTGCAAGAATGAAGGAACTGCCGCATGTTTCAACCCCATCTAGCCAGATTTTGTTTCTTATTGGTAACTCACAAAAAGGAAATGGAAAGATGTGATCTAGAATCTTCTGCCAACAGTTTTCTCTCTGTGTGTGATCAGAGCATTTTCTAAGTGGTTTCAAGATGGGCAGTCAATTGGAGCCCAAAACCTATAGCCTGAAGTAGAAAGCTGCTTTTGCTTACATATTTTGGGCTTTGGAAGGCAAGCAGGACCAGAGGGGCTAACAAGGGCTCAAGCTTCTTTAAAGTGCCTCACTGTATATCTTTCCATCCCTGGTGGTTTTTTCACCATCCCTTTATGCACAGAGGAAGGAAATCATCAGAGTTGTAACCAAACCGCACACGAGAGAGAAAACTTTGTTCCAGTAATGGTCGCGAGGCAAGGGTCACACTGAGTTTCTCTGCTAAGGGAACTGACTATTAAAATGTGCACTAAACTACTTGAAAGGGGTGGGAAAACATCCAGGTCTGTTCTTCTCAAACCACACAAGACCAAGAAAAATCTGGTTACACCTGCAACCGATCTTGTGGCTTAAAACCTGTAGGCTCTTCCAAAAATGTTTCATGTGGGCATCCAACTCCCATCATTACTAAGCAACTGGAAGATGCTAGCAGGGGCTGATGAAAACTGAGAGACATCTCTGCCATAAAATCAGGTAAGCCACAAGTTGGTGTGAAATTATTCCACCCCTTTCTGCTGTCTGTTCCAGCTTTTATTAAAATAGAAGTAAGTTTACCAGCCCTCTTACTGAAGATATAAGGAGAACGTGTGCAGGCAATAGTCAACCCAATGGATCACTAATTAAACTTTCCTCACATCAATTCCGCGGGTCCAGCGTAAATGAGAAGGACAGTCTAGCTCCCTCATTTTATGTTCTTCCTGTCCACTTCCCACATTCCATGACTTCTGAGGAAGTTTCAGTCATCAATGTGGGGTCTGGGCTTGATGGTGGTGTTTGCAGAACTGTGCTCGTCCTTAGGATGTTTTCTTTATGTTTTCCTTTATTCTGAAAGCCTTAGGGTTCCTCAAGGCATTGCTGATACCCTCCATCATTGTTCCTTCAGTGACCCCCATTTTTAGCTCTGGCGAACATGTAAATTGCAGAAATCTTGCTCCTGCTTCTAAATGCGGACTTCTCCAACATCCCTATCCCAGACCCCTTTTCATGCCTTTTTCCTGTTTTACCCACCATGGATGTGCGTGGAGCGTCAATTCGGCATAAAGCCCACCCTCTTCTTAATCAGTCAAAAAACAATTTTAAAAATGGAACTACACAGTGAGAAAGAGCACCCCCTTGGAAGCCCCCAGCACCATCTCTGGGATCGCAGCTCTCCTTTATTACACCATTAGAACAAAGCGTAAAGATATGTACCACAGCCACACCAAGGCAAGCAAGATAAAGTTGTCATGCATTGACGCACCTCTTGCAGAGGGATTTGCAGCTCTTGCCCAGATACCGCCGAGAATTCATACAATGTGCACAGAGAGGGAGGGGCCCAACAGGGTAAAAAGGGGAAGGTAAAAGGGGAAGATGACGATATATGAAAAGTTATGGATCCCTATGATTAGATGCATACTTACATACCACAAAACCAGCAAACAAAGTTGCCTAGCAAGTAGGATCTGGAGCCTGTTGCTTTTCTGTTGACTGCGGATGGATCTCAGAGAAGCTGTCTGTAACGGGGAATGCTTGCTCCAGATCACACCACAATTTTTATGTGATCGGTAAATGCATAATCAAATTGCCCACTGCAGCACTCACATTGATAAACCTCCCAAAGGTCTTCCAGACAAACAGACAGAAAGAAGGTGTTAAATCGCTGACTTACTGTAAGTCTTCCATTGCCAGTTAAGCCTCCTGCGCTCACCTGAGTTTCTGCTGCCAGGCGGGGCATGGAGGCAGCTCGCCCCTGGCTCTCCAGGCCAGGCTGGTGCTCACCATTGGCCATTGTTGGACTGATCTCTCGCATTTCTACTACCTGAGGGGCAGAAGCACAGAAGTAAGCAGGGAGCTGGCAAAAGAAAAAAATGTTCTCAGTAATCATGGTAAATGACTTGCTGCATCCTCAGAGGTAGAGGTGAGATATCAAGGGCCCCTCTGCTTGCTCAGCTGAGCTCAGTGGTGTTTAGCTCCTTAAAGGTAAAGGTACCCCTGACCGTTAGGTCCAATCGTGGATGACTCTGGGGTTGCGGCGCTCATCTCGCTTTCAGGCCAAGGGAGCCGGCATTTGTCCGCAGACAGCTTCCGGATCATGTGGCCAGCATGACTAAGCCACTTCTGGCAAACCAAGCAGCACAAAGAAACACTGTTTACCTTCCCGCTGGAGCGCTACCTATTTATCTACTTGCACTTGATGTGCTTTCGAACTAGGTGGGCAGGAGCTGGGACCAAACAACAGGAGCTCACCCTGTTGAAGGGATTAGAACTGCCAACCTTCCGATCGGCAAGCCCCAGGCTCTGGGGCTTAGACCACAGCACCACCCACGTGACTTCTTTTTTATACCCAAGACAATTCAATTTATATACACGACAATTCAACACAGTGGTGGAGCATATGCTAAAGCCACCCAGGTCATGCATGTGGGGTACATCCACGAGGGGGATGGGGAGCAGAGGGAGCCCCCTGCGGCTTGCTTCGCAAAACAGCATGGGGGAGCTCACTTGCATGCTACAGCCCAGGCGAGAAGAGGGGTGAGGAAGCTGCTACCAGCTTTCTTCCTACTCTCCACCCCCAGGTCAGACCTGACCCAAGAGTGGAGCTGCTCCCTTGTGCATTGCAAACCAGAAGAGTGGGCTGCAGCATTGCTGCCTACTCTTTTCTCTCCGTCCCTGGGTCCACCCCTGGGTCAGGCTTGCCCTGGAAGTGGAGCAGCCGTGGCCAGGTGCAAGAAAGCTGCCACAGCCCAGGAAGTGGGTGGCAGTGTTACCACCAACTCTACTCTCTCTGCGCCCAGGTTAGACTTGACCTAGGAATGGAGCTGTGGCTGGTGCCATTGAGCTGTTGTGTGAGGAAGCTGTCTCCACAGCTTCCACGTATGCCCCTTCAAAACATGCACCCAGTGACACCCCCACCCCATGCTACGCCACTGATTCAGTAATGTAGGCCCAAGGGTAATGATACCAACTCCATTACAGTGGCAGGGAGTGCTCCAGCCCCTCTGCCAGTCAATTTTTAATCTTCTTATGCAATGATATTGTATTATGTAATTTGGCAGTTCAATTTTCCTGTAAATCACTTTGGGGCACCTTTCACTTGTATAAAGCAATATTGCATAATAAATTAAATTGCAATGGGGTGTTCCATGCAGTGTAATCAATGGAAAGTTGTTTTAGCATCCATATGCAATGTTTCTTTAGATTCCAAACTGAGATTAATTCAACAAAAAAATGGAAGTTTCAGGCACACTGGATTCCACAGCTTCTTTATAAGGAGGAACTGGCCAGTTTGCTAGGGGCTGGTGATGCAATCAGGATAAAGCATCAAGGCACATGCTGTGGGCATGTGTTGGAGAATCTTCCCTTCTGTCAGAAATTGTTTGCATTTTTTAAATTGCCTTTTCAAGCACTGGCTTCAGTACACAGAATATGGGAAGGGGGAGAGGTCTTGTCCTTTGTCTTAGGGAGCAACATTTCTTGGACCAGGCCTGCTGTTCTGTTCTGCCAGATGATAGCAGACTGGAAAGTACATTTCATTGGTGTAGCAGAGCTTTTGGGATTAGCCCAGTGAAGGCCTCCTCCTGTACCAAAACAGTACATTTAACCTTCACCTGTTTGCTTGTCTGCTCAGTGGGAATTTCTTCTGAATGGCCACGCTCAAATGCTGGTGTCCTCGTTTCGTAAAACACATCCTGAGTCCGTTGAGTCCCCCATGAAACAGACTCCTTGATTCCTCCTCCCTCTGGCGTTGGTCTGTCATGAAAGGAGGAAGGAGGGAGAGAGAGAGAGAACTTGCAAAGAATGCAATACAGTGGTACCTCAGGATAAGTACTTAATTCGTTCCAGAGGTCCGTTCTTAACCTGAAACTGTTCTTAACCTGAAGCACCACTTTAGCTAATGGGGCCTCCTGCTGCCACTGCACGATTTCTGTTCTCATTCTGAAGCAAAGTTCTTAACCTGAGGTACTATTTCTGGGTTAGCGGAGTCTGTAACCTGAAGCATCTGTAACCCGAGGTACCACTGTACTGTATACCAAAATCTTGGTACATTGCCCCGTCTCTGGTGGGACTTGTCCAAAAGCACAGAAATGGACCCAGGATTAGCTTTGCTCTCCTAACTCATAAGGTTGCAACAATGATCTGTCTTGTAAGAACCTTATAAACCACCTCCTTCTGGCAGCATGCATGGAGCTAGGGTAACATTAGAAAGATGCAGAGGGATTTTCTTGGCCAGAACTCCCTGGAACTTAGTTCTGGCACCTCTCAGGTGGGCACCATTGCCATTCTAAGAGAATGAGGGAAATTCTCTATATTTCTCGAAAAATAGTGCTGGTATGATAGGGTATGGCTTTGACTGATAAGCTTACAAAATGCTGTAGAGTGACGTACAGACAAACATACCAAAATATACTTTGATTATGGCTGCTTTATATTTATTTCTGTGAGGGATTCTTTAGCTGTGATTCCAGTATTGCAGGGGATTGGACCAGACGACTCTGAGGGTTCCTTCCAACTCTACAATTCTGTGATTTGATGCTATTATTTTCTGCTTTATACTCATCATGCTGTGTTTTGCTTCATACCTGGTGACTGATACTCATTATTTGCTGTTTGTATTGTTTCATGTTATACATAATAAAACACATATATCTAAATAATGCAATACTGTAGATAAAGCAGGCTGGGGAAACCCTTCCTTGCAGACAACAAACAAACAAACAAACCACAAAGTCAGGTAGTTAGCAGCTGAAGGTTAAGAAGGACCTAGTTATCACTCAGGTGGCAAACCTGTGCTCAAGCCATGCAACTTCAGACTGCAGGTGGGGACAGACATGATGGAACACTGCTCCATCTTAAAAAATGAAATCAATCTCCACACTTAGAAAACCAGCGTATCAGGGAGCAAGTTAGACAGAAAAAGAAATGGGGAAAGCTGTAGGCCTCAGTATGTTGTAGGACTCTTGATTCCCATCATTCTTGATCACTGACTGCAGCTTATCCACCTTGAGCTAAAAACTTGTGACACTAGTTTCTAAATGCAAGGAATTTGGTGTGCAGAAACAAATTCCATCAGGTGAGCTCCTTCACCCCACCTGCACTCTGAATAGGCACAGCTCCAGCTCGGCCACTTCAGTGCCGAATTTAGCCAAAAATAGTGAGAAACTTCTGGGTACTCACAAGGCACCTCCATTGTTGAGAGAAGCGGAGCTCTTTTGGCGCAGGAAAGCATTGGGGAAATACTGAAGGCTGGCTTTGTTCAAGCGCTGCTTTCAACGGGTGGAAAAGGGACACGGTTCCAGTCTGCAAGGTGGAAGGAAGGAAGGATTATCTGCTCTGGTAACAATTCATACAGTGCTGCCACAAGGTAGAGGTTGGCAGTTATACTGGACAGAGGTTCCTCCTTATCCCTGCCTGGCAAATCCCTCAGCAATAAAGCTGTGCAAATCTTATCTGTTCCTTAGTAGGGAGCTGCAGTTTAGTGTAAAGGGTGGGATACCTTTTTCACCCTGAGCGCCAGTTGGAGGATAAGGCCAGAGGCAAAAGCCAGGAGCAACTACTGCAATTTTCTGATGTCTATGCTCTGGTAACCTCTAGGTTAGATGTGATTTGTTATATGTTACTACAAGCCAATAACCACCAGGCCATGGTAAAACTAAACAAGATTCTATTAGCTGATGTACTGCCCCTACAGGTCAGTGAAGTTTGGCTCATTGTTGATCTCCACAGTGACATAGTGGCAGTGAAGGGTGCAAAAGACTGTTTACCTGGCAAAGACCTCCAGGTGCTGGATGGGCAGGATCTCGAGTGTTCTTGTTCTGTTTGTAGAAGTCAAATATCATCAAGGCTGCATAGACTTTCCCCACTGTCATGGCTTCAGCTGGACAAAGAAACAAAAAAATGAAAAACAAAATAAGAGGGGGAAAAGATGGGGTGAACAGAATTGGTGAATAGCAAAAGGTGAAGGCAGTGGGAGGGGGAGTCAGTATGAATGGAAATCTTAGATGCTGATGAGCTGGGGTGGGGAGCTATCCTAATTCTTTCTTAGACCGAACTCAGATAGCCTGGTACCTATTGTTAAAATCAAAATGAGGCCACCAAAAATTATTCCTCCCATTTCCAATCTTAAATTTAGTTCTCCACAGCAATCTGCATTTTGGTGTAAAATTTATCCAAATATACAGCTTTTTGCAAGCAATTTTCCCCAGTATAATGCGATACTAATGTGATACTTTTCAAGCATGCCTTCCCCCAATATATGAATTTTTTTACTTATTGGCTGGGAACTGCATTGCAAAATTCAGAGGCATGTAGGAGAGACAATATGGAGTAGTGGTTGGAGTGTCAGACTAGCTTGTCTCATAGGGTTGTTGTAAGGATAGGGTGGGGAGCAGGAGAACCATGGATGCTATCTTGAACTCCTTGGAGGAATGGTGGGATAGAGATGTAATAATAAATAAGTGCAGTCCGGGGGGTGGGAGAAGGAGAAACAGGTCCCCATCTCACTCCTGCCCCCCAAGCACATGATTGTGTAGGGCTCCCGAACAGATTCAGCACCTGGATCTCCCCGAGTCAATTCAGCGGCACTGCAAAGTAACAGATTGACACCTAGATCAGAGTGGAGGCCCTTGTGCAGTGAACCTTTTTCCTACTCTCCTTATCTTCCCATCTAGTATTATAGCAATAAAGTACTGACAGCCAGGCCTGGGCCTAAGCCCTTAAAGCACTGTACAGCACATCAAGAAGAGGAATTCGGGAAGATGTCCTTTTCCCTTGTTTTGCTGAAGCATCCCCATAGCTTGCCTATCCCTGCTAAAACACTTCTCAGTGTAAATGTTAATGCTTATGCCATCAATGTGGTACAAAGGGAAATATGGGACTTACGTTTATGAGGTGGTACTAGCAGATCCAAGGTCTTTGGTGAAAGATTGGGCCAAACTAGCGAGATCTCCTTCCTCAGCTCGATGTCACACTGGAGCTGCAGGACCCCTGCCATGCCATGGGCCAGGTGATATAAAGGAAGAAAACGTTTCACTCACAGACCAGGCTCCGTGCTGGACCAGAGCAAAGGCTTATAAAGCAAAGTATGCCTTTTCTTGAAGTGATCAACCAGATGTCCCAATGGGAAGCCCACAGGAAGGACCACATGATTCCCAATATCTGACATTCAGATATGCCTCTGATACGGGAGGTAATATAGCCAGCTGTTATGACTAGTAGCCATTGATAAAACATACCCTCCACGAATTTGTATAAACTTCTTTTAAAGCCTTCTAAATTGGTGGCCATCATGAGATTGTGTGAGAACAAATCCTATAGCTTAACTATTATGTGAAGTACTTTCTTTTGCCTGCCCTGAATCTGCAAGCACTCAGCTTTCTTGGATGGCCCCAAGGAAAGGCATTATTCCTACCCTTTGGGGAGGGTATTGTTATGAGGAAGGGTGTTATTCCTACTCTGCAGGAAGCTTGAAAAGGGAAAAAGAGAGCACAGTAGAGAATAGCCCCTCTTCCATGGAGGGGAAGAAGACTGGGCAATGTCAACGCTCTTACTAATTCTCTGAAGAGAGAAGCTCTTCCAGAATGGACCAAAGTACTGAATCAGATCACTGGTTGATTTAGCTCAGTCTGCACTGATTGGCAGTACAGGTTTCAGAAAGGAGGTCCTTGGAGACATGGAGTATTGAACCAGGGATCTTCTACATACAAAGTAGATGTGCTACCACTGAGCTTGATGAAGCTAATGCAGGGCTATGGAACCTGTGATCCTCCAGATGTTTTCTTGACTCAGAGTTCCAATGACCCTAGGCCGGCATGTTCAGGGATTATGGGAAATATAGTCCAACAACATCTGGAGGTCCTGGTCTAGTAAAGTGGAAATTTGCTCAGATATCTTGCTTTAAAATCTGAAATTTGCCCATTTCCATACATCAGTTTTGAAAACGTATGGGCCAAAGTCTCCATCCCCATTCCCCATTCATTCCTATTCACGCAATTATGATATTTTAAGCCAGCTGCTGTTGTCTCACCTGATGCAAGTTTGATTTCCAGGGCAGTGCGGATCAAGGCCATCAGCGTAGATGTGAAGTGGACGCTCAAGTCATCATTTGAGATTGGCATATTCATCCTTACCAAGCGCTGAGAGACAGACAGGCTTCTATCAATGCTGATCAACTTATTTCCCCTCCCCAAACCTCATACTCGCCCACCCCACTTTCTAGTACTCAGTTTCGTTCCTCCCCAGAGTAAGCTTGATTACCAAGAGCTGACATTCCACAATGCTAACTTTTCATATGCTGACGTAGGTAACAAGCCCCAGATGGGGAAAATAAATATCCACAATCTCCATAGGTTCCAATATTCCAACATCAGGGGAGGGGTGTTTCTAGGACTAAGGTGAAACTTTGAAGCTCCCTTGTTATTTTTGCTATGGGATACAGCATGCTGGTTAAGTAATTTTGTTATATTTATAGTACTGAAATATGCTTTTGCATATTATGTTTTTGTTTTGCTATGTTATTATGAAGTCGTTTTTGTAGTGTTTGTTTGAAATGCATCCCTGTTTATTGTAAGCTGCTTGGAGCATGATTTCTTCTTTTGTGTGTGCAAAAGCAGCATACAAATAAAATGAATGTATGAATGAATTCTGAGCTCCACTTATGTATTGGAAACTCTCAGCTATAACCTAAATCTGTCTTTCTATACCTTAAAACCATCACACCCTGCATTTCCCTCCATGGACAGAGTGACCAGCTCTTCTTTCTGTGTTTTAGTACTTCAAAAATGTCAGCATGGCAGCATTTAAAAAAAAAAAATCTTTGGCCTAATAACATACAAAGAGTCCTGCAGGATCAAGCCAAAGATCCATCTTAGACCAGCTTTTTGCTTTCACAGTCGCCAGCTAGATGCCTCTGGGAAGACCATGAACAGGACTCTTCCCTGCTTGTTGTTTCCATCAACTGGTATCAAGAGACATACCTATTTTCTACATCTACTATTGGAGATAGTATCATGGCTAGCAGCCATCAATAGTCTTATCATTCTTGCCATACAGGGTGCTTTTATGCAAGGTTTCATAGTCAATACCCCCCCACTCGAATCCTGGGAATTGTACATTGCCCAGGGCTTTCTGGGGATATGGAATAACTATTAAACAGAGGAGACTATTGCATTGGGGTGGGTGGTGCACTGCCCCGCTAGCTTCAGCCTGCCCTCAACCATGCCCCCAAATGCCTGCCTCTTTCCTTCCCTCCCATCTCTGATGCCCTCTCACATCTCTGCCTCCCAAAGGCTTGCACAGCTGTTTGTTTCAGCAGCCCTGGCTACAAGCTCCCCAGGTGAAGGATGCCTTTGAGGCTAGCCAGGGGGTGGAGCAGTGGGAGGAGGCAAATCTCTTGGGGGCGGGCAGCTCAGAGACCAGGGGTGGCAGCTCCAGCTGCCCAGAGGACTCCTAAGGAGAGGGGAGAAGAAAGAAGGCTGAGAGAACAATCCATAAGGGAGAGGGTTCGAAAGGGGGTGAGCGGCTGCCAGCTCTTCAGGCAAGAGGTGACATAACTGGGCTCCTGAGCCCCACAGGGGTGCAACCGAAAGAATGTAGTTGGTCAAGGAAGCCGTGGACTCAGAAAGGTTGAAAACCTCTACATGAAACCATTGATAAACTATTGCCTGTACAAAGCATGTCCTCAAAGGTGCTATCTGGAAAGTAGCGAACTGACAGTGAGCTCTTGGGGAATAATTGCTGACAGAGAGGAAACAAGGCGTGAAATGAGTGATAGTACTTCAGGAATAGCAGCCACCTCCTTAGTCCATGAGAAACACACCTAGGCGCCAAAGCAATTCAAAACATGCTGGCTTGAACACAAAGTAGTGCTAAATCTCTTGTAGCGCTAAGGATTTACGTTTGCACAACAGAACTTCCCCTGTGTGCCCCCTAAACCTGAACTGGGATTTCCCTTACCCCTCGGAGCACATTTAGAGAGTGCATAGGGTGGGTCTGGGAAAAGAAGAGAAAGTTCCATTTCATTAATGGAACGAGGGCATCAGATACCACCCGTTAAATTCCAATTAAGCTCCCCCCAACACAGATCTAATTTGCCACCCACTTTTTGCTGTCGTCAGCACAGAAAATGTTAGCAGCAGAATCCTACCTTCTTCAATGCAGCCCCATGGTCCAAACTTACTCAGACAGTCCCACTGAATCCATTGCAGTGAGTGACAGGGAAAAAGAAAGGGGGGGAAATGCTTGGAAGTGAAAGAAAAGCCAGTGTGTGTGTGTGTGTGTGTGTATTTCTCTCAGGAGAGCTGTATCCTAATCCAGTTGGGGGGCTTGGAAATGAGCATCAATTAGGCCAGAAGGAAGCCTATACTCCCCCCAAACCTCAGAAGACCTGGTTTTTGTGTTGTTAGTAATCTGAGGTTGTTATTCAGATCCATGCAACTCCTGCCTGTGAATTTATCTACACTTACTTTTTGCCCTGCTCTGGCGCTGTGGGTTAAACCACAGAGCCTAGGACTTGCCTATCAGAAGGTCAGCGGTTCGAATCCCCGCGACAGGGTGAGCTCCCGTTGCTCGGTCCCTGCTCCTGCCAACCTAGCAGTTCGAAAGCACATCAAAATGCAAGTAGATAAATAGGTGCAGCTCTGGCAGGAAGGTAAACGGTGTTTCCGTGCACTGCTCTGGTTCGCCAGAAGCAGCTTAGTCATGGCCACATGACCCAGAAGCTGTGCGCCTGCTCCCTCGACCAATAAAGCGACATGAGCACCGCAAACCCAGAGTCGGTCACGACTGGACCTAATGGTCAGGGATCCCTTTACCTTTACCTTTACCTTTCCAGGCACAAATTTGTGCTTTAAAGCTCTGGGTCCAAGCACTTGTTTTATTTGCCCCAGAGCTTTCCTCACAAAAACCCAGTCTTTAAAGCTGAAGTGCAACAAACAAAATTTTCAGCAGATTGTTGCTTGGACATGGAGCTTAAAAGTGGGGACCATGCCTGGAAAGTACAGAGGAAAGGTAAGTGTGGATAAGCCCTGCAAGAATGAGGAACTGCCGCATGTTTCACCCCATTGCCAGATTTTGTTTCTTATGGTAACTCACAAAAAGGAATGAAAGATGTGATCTAGGGAATCTTCTGCAACAGTTTTCTCTCTGTGTGTGATCAGAGCATTTTCTAAGATGGTTCAGATGGCAGTCAATGGAGCCCCAAACCTATAGCTGAAGTAGAAGCTGCTTTGCTTACATATTGGGCTTTGGAAGGCAAGCAGGACAGAGGCTAACAAGTCAAGCTTCTTAAGTGCTCACTGTATATGTTTCCTCCCTGGTGTTTTTTCATCCATCCTTTATGACAGAGGTAGGAAATCATTCAGAGTGTAACCAAACCGCACACGAGAGAGAAAACTTTGTTCCAGTTAATGTTGCGAGCAAGGGTCACACTGAGTTTCTCTGCTAAGGGAACTGACTATTAAATGTGCATAAACTACTTGAAAGGGGTGGGGAAACATCCAGGTCTGTTCTCTCAAACCACACAAGACAAGAAATCTGGTTACACCTGCAAGCATCTTGTGGCTTAAAACCTGTAGCTCTCCAAATGTTTCATTGGGCTCCAACTCCCATCATTCCTAAGCACTGGCCATGCTAGCAGGGGCTGATGAAAACTGAGAGACCATCTCTGCCATAAAATCAGGTAAGCCACAAGGTCTGGTGTGAAATATTCCACCCCTTTCTGTGTCTGTTCAGCTTTTATTAAAATAGAAGTAAGTTACCAGCCCTCTTACTGAAGATATAAGGAGAAGTGTGCAGGCAATAGTCAACCCAATGGATCACTAATAAACTTCTCACATCAATTCCGGGGTCCAGGTAAATGAAGGACAGTCTAGCTCCCCCATTTTATGTTTCCTGTCACTCCACATTCCATGACTTCTGAGGAATTTCAGTCATCATTGGGCTTGTGCTTGATGGTGGTGTTTGCAGATGTGCCGTCTTAGGATGTTTTCCTTTATTTTTCCTTTACTTCTGAAAGCCTTAGGGTTCCTCAAGCATGCTGATACCTCCATCATTGTTCCTCAGTGACCCCATTTTAGCTCTGGCGAACATGTAAATTGCAGAAATCTTGCTCCTGCTTCTAATGGGATTCTCCAACATCCCTATCCCAGAACCCCTTTCATGCCTTTTCCTGTACACATGGATGTTGCGTGGAGCGTGTGGCATAAGCCCACCCTCTTCTTAATGCAGTCAATACAGATTCTAATTTTAAAAATGGAACTATGCTACAGTGAGAAAGAGCACCCCCTTTGGGAAGCCCCAGCACATCTCTGGGATGCAGCTCTCCTGTTACACCATAGAACAAAGCTGTAAAGATATTACCGCATGCACACCAAGGCAAGCAAGATAAAGTGTCATGCATGACGACTCTGCAGGGATTGGCTCTTGCCAGATGTCGCGAGAATATACAAGCACAGAGAGGGATGGGGCAACAGAAGGAGGTATAAAGGGGGAGATTGTAGCTCTTAAAAAGGTCCTAGAAGAGAAAAGACCACCTAGGCATAGGAATGTGGTTGCTATAGAAAAAGATAGGGAGGAACCAGGATGGGGGAGACAAAACTCTGGATTGCAGCATACTAGGTTTACTCAGCACAGACCCATTGAAATTTATGGGCCTAAATTAGCCATGCTTCTTCATTTCAACTGGTCTACTCTGAGTAAGGCTAACACTGACTATAAACTTCTGTGCTTGCTATCAAGGGATGGCTATTTGCACCTGCCTCACTTCATCCTCCAGCCCCAACAGCCTTTATAAGACAACAGTTTCCCACAGAAATCTGGGCCAAGGCGTATAGGATGGGTGGGGTACTGGTAGGTGCTACTGTTATTAGCTTTGGACCTACTTTTGGATCCAAAGTCTTGGGTATTTCTACTTGAACTTTTGGTGAGATTTATACTTGCTTTATGCTCACTTACATTTTAATGCAGGCTAAATGCATTGATTTTGTGTATTATTTTGCAGTGCTATACTTTTAAGAATTACGTTCATTATGGTACTACTGTATTTTGACAGGGTTGGTGAACCACTTTTGAGCACAGTTGTATCCTTTTTGACTCCACAGGCCAGATCTTTATCCGAATTAATCTTGTAGGACAAAATTGACAGGAGGGTATGGTTGCCCACCTGTCAGTCATCTGATTTCACTTTGAATGAACACTGTGTAGTGCTTTAAAGGGCCTGAGGCTTCAAGATTACTACCAATCAGCCAATGAGCAGGACAGCTGAACTCTACTTTCTGCAAGTATCCGCTGCACATGTTCTATTGGGACCTTGCTCATTCAGCTGATTCAGCAGGGTTTCAAATCGGGCCCATGAAACCATTTCCCCCAAACTCCGCCTGCTGACAGTGACATGACTGCCAATGCACAGCCAGAAACCTTAAAGGGCTCTGAGCTTTCAAGGCCATTTACATTACTCTGCTCCTTAGTGTTGTGGCCCCAGGGTCTAACAATACTCAGAAGAGGGTGAAGTCTAGGCTGCTCTATGTAGGTGCTGTTTTCTGCCATCACCCTCCTGCAGCATCTCCATCTTCCCAATCTCTCAGAAGTCAATGGATGCAAAATTGTGCAAGGGTTGATTGAAAAAGAAGAGTCAACGTCCCCTAGGGAAGCAGGACAAACTGCAATTGACAGCCTACATAAGCTTTAGCTCCCTGCTGAGACAACGTCCTGCTATAGCTACAATACAGCCAGTGGGGCCCACTGGGAGCTGTCCATGGTCCTGGATTCACTGACTTCTGTTAAAGATTCATTAAGATTTTGCCTGACTTGACCTGAGTGTTTCTCCCAGAAGAAATTCAGCTTTCACTGCACCTGCTTCTCCTGTGAGCCTAAAGCCCTGAACAGGGTACAGATTTTATGAGCCTCTCAATAGTATGATGTACTTAGATAGTGGCCATGGTAAGAAGGAGTTACTGAATGAATGCAACTGGCATCCCAGGCAACTGAATCTTGCTTATCCTGTGTTCATCAATGTAAATTCATCAGTGTCTTGCTTGCCTTCTCACTGCGTTCTTGCCTGCAAAATTGAGAGGCAAGAAACTATCATACAACTGAGCACAATCCACTTTCTGATTGATTAAATCCTTGTCTGGAGCAAATTATAATGCATTAGTGAGTTCACTGAGCTCAAGTGAGCCAATGATTCTATAGCATTTATTTCTTAAGAGTGTGTTTAAGGAAGCTTTTAAGGTGTCACCTATGTTTAATTTACTCTCTCCTTCAGAACCACCTCTTCTAATTAGCAACGAGTTAATTAAGTTAAAACTCTACACTGATCCTTATCCAGAAATGTAAAATATTGGTCAGTCTGTTAAAATAGAATGCTTGGTCATATATTTTTTAAGCTTCTATGCATTTTGGTTTATTATATAATTGCATTCAGATTTGCATAAATTTATTTTATATTATTTTATATTAATATTTATTAAAAGAGGGGCAATTGTAATTTATTATTATTATTTTAAAATTGTATACTGCCCTATACCCACAGGTATCAGGGTGGTTCACGACATAAAAACACAATATAAAAATACAAAATACATAATAAAAACAAAATAAAAATTACAACCCAGTAATCCCCCCTGCCCAACACATTTTAAAATGGCATTAGATGTCAATCAACCAGAGGCTTGGTCAAAGATGGACTTTGCATTTTAAGATTGTTTTTGTTGCATATAGTTGTATTTGGAGCTAAGTTTTATTTGTGTTACCTTGTGTTGCTTCCATAATGTTAACCTTTTGTTTTGTGATGGTCTGATGACTAAATACAAATAAACAAACCTGATCTGATCTGAATAGACTGTTGCAGAAAGGCAATGCAAAAGTTTGCAGCTGTTTTGTTAACAAGGAATCTCTTACTCTGCTTGCACTGGAACAAAGGTGAATCACTGTTTCTGTAGTTACTGGAGGATTGTTTTACATCCATACTCTCTAGGAACAAATTTTCTCTGCAGGAAATAATTTCCCTTCTACAAAGAGGATCATGTTCATTTAAGACAAAGATCCCCTTCTGTTTGGACTTAGGTCCTGCAGGGGAAGCGGTAGCAATTAACAGAGTTTATTCCAGTCAAATCAGGACCCTGGGCAGCTCCCAGTAGGTCTTCCTAGATGAGCTGTAGAATATGTTGTCCCACCAAAGAGCCAGACACCTGAAGGTTTAAGAAGGTTTGCAGCACTTTTCTTTTTAGTGGCTCAATCCCCTGCAAGAACTATCTACAATCCTTAAAGGATTTGTAGCTGAATCTTCAGTTCCATGCACCTGTGTGTTTGAGGAGTTGGAGAGGCTGCAGGGATGTCACTCCCAGAGTTTGATGGGTGAACCGCATCCTCAGGCAGGTACAATGTAGAATGGGTGTACCAGGGTTGAACACATCTACTGCTTTGACTTGAACATATTAATACAGAAAGTAGTGCCATGGAAAATCAGTTCTCAATCTACATAGCAGGGGTAGATGATCAAGTAATCTCCATATGTTTTGGACTACAACTCCAGAGACCATGCTGTCTTGGGCTGATGGAAATGGTAGCCCAACACACCTAGAGGACACAGCTTGTCTATCCCTGCATTCCAGATGCAGTGCCTTTCCCTTGCATTCTGAAGTGGTACAGTCCTAGGAGAACTGTATCACATGCTTTTTCTGAAGAAACATGTTGGCTTTCAGTGAACATAGATCTGGAGGCAATGCATCCTAAGGATTTGTTAAGTCTAAGCACATGTTGCCATGAAGACAGCCTTGTTTGGGAATAATTGGTCTCTTACTTGGTGCAGACGGAAAAGGAAGGGGAAAGGTAGAATCCGAAAAATGAACCAGGATATAAATATATTTATGGACAGGTAGAAACTCAGCTAGCTAGAAAGGTGTAATGGGCACCACAGCTGTAATGACTTAGTCAGAGATGCGGAATGTTTCAAACTAGAACAGGGGTGTCAAACTCAAATGGATTTAAATGGCTTCATTTCTTAACCCACAGGAGCCCGGAGACTCACCCATAAATTCCCCTTCCCATAAAATATTAAATTTACATTCTCTCTCCCTCCTTGCCATCTTGCATAAGAGGCACCAATAGAGGTGGACTTCCAGGTCTCTTAAAGGGAAGGTGACAGATTGATAGGAGAACACTGAGTCAAACCATGGGAACATAGGAAGCTGCCTTGTACTAAGTGAGACCACTGGTTCAGATAACTCATTATTGTCTACACTGAACTGGCAGCTACTCTCTAGAGTTTCAAGCTTGGCGTCTCTCCCAGCCCTACCTGGAGACACAGTGGATTGAACATGGGGCTTTCTGCATGCAAGGCAAATGCACTAACACTGGTCCATCTAGCTCAGAATTTTCTATCCTGATTGGCAATGAGTCTACAGAATTTCAGAGGGGAGTCTGTCTCAGACCTACCTGGAGGTGCCAGGGAGTGAACCTGGGATGTTCTTTATTGAAGAGAGATATCCTACAAATAAGCTACGGCCCCTCCACCAGTAACTCTTTGGTGAGGCATGAACCCCTTTTAAATATTCAGCCTTCAAGTACTTGGATTTGAGTACACAAACTCTCCAAAGCCCCTACCTGAACTCTGCATGCCTATGGGGGGTACTTGGAATCTGCCTGCTGCTTGAAGCCAAAGGACCAAGTAGGAATTCCAATTATAGGACCCTACGGGCACAGCTCCACATTTCTGAAAGCCATGTGATGGCAGTGGAGGTTGCCCAATTAAGGCGAGTGAGGCAGTGCCACCACTAAGCTCAATCTGCCCTCAGATGGCCTCCACCTATCTGCCTTCTTAATTACAATCAGCCCAAGGGGTGGCTATTACTGCCAACTTCTACCTCCTCAGTCACAGTTTTGCCCTTGTAGAATTCAGCAAAGAGGAGTATGGGGGAAAGGCCACAATTAGTTGGCTATGCCTATTATTGACTCTAGTTCCACCAGCCATCTTCTCTGTCTCCACCTGCCACTGATCTCACTGCCTTCCACCCTACCAGTCCCAATTAGCACCAGCCTCTGCTGCCAGTGTGTTTCCTGTCCCAGTAGCCTCTTTGTTGTACAGCTGCTATGGGCTGGGCCATGTGTTGGACACCCCTGAACTAGGGAGATTATGAAGCATCTGAAATAGCTTAGAAGACACCACAAATACTACAGGAAATGGAGGTAGTTCAGCCTTAGCAACAACAGAACAGATGGCACTGCTTGTCTGGTCTAACCTTATAGGCAACGCGAGCTGGGCATTTCTTTCCCAGTCCAAGTGGTGGGGACATGTGTCTCAGCATCTCATACATGTCCGTGTAACTGATACGCCCACTTGGAACCAGAGAGATAGAAAGAGAGGGGGAGAGAGAGAGAGAAAGAAGCAGAAGCCAGAAGATGGGGAGGGAATCACAGGTGGGGGAAGAACCAAGTTAGAGCCAAGTGTCAAACAGAGGGGAGGGGGACCAGGGATGAAGTGGAAAGCAGACAAGAGAGCAAGAGAGAAGGAGAGAGATCTGATTAATTAGATTGTTTTCAGGGAGTAGAAACAAAACAAAGGGAGGTTAATAACAAAGAGGAGGGTTAAATCAGATGGTTTCTTTTCCAATTTCATCTCTTTGAGCTGGGGTAGCCAACCTGGTGCCCTCTAGCCATTGTCAGACTACAGCTGCCATCAGCTGCAGCCAGCATGGCCAATGGGTAGGCACAATGGGAGTTGGAGTCCAGCATCAGCTGGAGAGCACCACCTTGGCTATCCCTGTCACTGAGCATCTCTCTTTCCATGGGCTCGCCGTCTTCTCTTTTTTCTTTTTTCTTTTCAAAAAAAGAGGTTCAAATCCCTGCGGTAGCAGTACAGAATGATTGAGTGTGGACAAAAAGCAGGTGGGAAGGAAAGAGGTTTGAAACCATGGGTGGGAGGGCGAGCATTCCCATATATTCTCAAACAGGTGGTTGTGCAGGTGTCAAGGGGCTGTACTCATCATGCCAAGGAGAAGCGATACACAGCATTATGGAACAGTCAGACATGGCTTTAATAAAATGGTTCTCCTTTCCTGGGCAGGCTTTTGTTGCTTAGATTGGAAGCGAGGCTAATAATGGGTAAAATGGAGGCAAAAATAAGGAAGATCTCCACTTTCAATAACACAAGGCTGGCATCAGAGTTCAGTGGGCCCTTGGCATAGTGACAACAATGCCCCCACCTCCCAATGTCCCTGCCAACCAAGGCAGGGACCAGCACTGCTTGTGATGGTAGATGCCACATGGTTTCTCAGCCAGCGCGCCTTGGGCAACAACTGCACTCCTCACCTTCCACTGGATCCCCAGACTTTTTCCAGCCCTGTCTAGACTATAGAGCCAAGAAACAGATTTCAGAGATTGATAGGCCAGGACATTACATTTGGGGACACATAAATGGACAAGCAGGGACGCGGGTGGCGCTGTGGTCTAAACCAGAGAGCCTAGGGCTTGCCGATCAGAAGGTCGGTGGTTCAAATCCCTGTAACGGGGTGAGCTCCCATTGTTCAGTCCCAGCTCCTGCCAACCTAGCAGTTCAAAAGCACGTCAAAGTGCAAGTAGATAAATAGGTACCGCTCCGGCGGGAAGGTAAACGGCGTTTCCATGCACTGCTCTGGTTTCACCAGATGTGGCTTAGTCATGCTGGTCACATGACCCGGAAGCTGTACGCCGGCTCCCTCGGCCAATAAAGCGAGATGAGCACTTCAACTCCAGAGTCATCTGCGACTGGACTTAATGGTCAGGGGTCCCTCTACCTTTACCTAAATGGACAAGCAGCCTGCTTGGAGGAGAACTTGGATTGCCTTTTTGTTCAAAAGCAACTCTGTCATCCATCACTGAAAACCATTTAGGGCCCTAGCAGGGAGGATGGTGAATGGTTGGGTTGAGCTGGTGAGGGACCCAGCCGAGGGACCCTCAGTCGGTGCCTGACCTAGCTGACCCCTGGCACCAAGTCTTGTACCTCCATGTCAGCAGCTGTGGTCAGACCAAGGCAGAATAGGGTGGTACTATGGCTCCCCTTGATCTGGACACTATACTTCTGTTGATGCAGCCTAGGAATAGCATTAGCCTTTTTTTTTTTTGCTGCAGCATCACACTGTTGACTCATGTTAAACTTGTGGTCCACTATGACTCCTAGATTCTTTTCACATGTACTGCTAGTAAGCCAGGTGCCCCCCATCCTATATTTGTGCATCTGGTTATTCCTGCCTAAGTATAGACCCATACCTTGGTCCCTATTGATAGTCATTTTGTTACTTTTGGCCCTTGAATCTGTCAAAGTTATCTTGAATCCACATTCTATATGCTAGCCCAGCCTGGCACCATCTGTAAATTTGATGAGCACCTCCTCAATCAATTAACTCAAAACTTTTGGAATGGGGTAGCCTGCCCCTAACTCCTCCCACCCCTGTTCTGGAGAAGGGAACCTTTTCAAAGCTGACTGTCTCATAAAGCTGCCCATGTCCAGGCAAGTGTGCATCATCGTGTGTCAGGAGAGATGCTAGATTGGAAAGGGTAAGATCAAAGGGTGGGGGTGGGGGCTTGTCAATCATTCTTGTTCAGGCAAAGGGGTTAGTTCAATCCAGTTTATTCTTCTTTTTCTTTGCCTTTGCAATTCAGGTTTGTTTGTTTGTTTTTATCAAATTAAAGGTTCAAATTCAAGGCAAACAAATAGAGGAGAAATATACTGGAAGGGTTTCCCCCCCGCTGAAATGCCAAACCTTGTATGCCACCCTGTGAGGGCATTTCCTTCCTAAGCCCAGAGGTGGAGCAATAGCTCGCAACAAACTGTACATCTCCTTATAATGTATCCGGCAACTGGAAAGGAAAAAAAATCATGAGTTATGACCAAAGGGGGGGGGGAATATATGGAGGAGAGATGGCTCCATTCCAGAGCTTCCTGACGTCACCCCTCCCCCCCCAAAAAAAATAGAAGAAAGAATGGGAGAGTCGTGTTCAATTTCAGAGTCTCCAGATTTCCTTTACAACAAGCTGTGGAGGGAAATATTTCAGCAGCAGTGGAAGATAGACATAGGACTGCACGATGCCATCCACTCAGAAGCAGCCCTATTGAATTCACCCAATCCCTAGAAGAATTTTAAAAACATCCTCAGTTGTAAATTAATTATTAAAACAATAAAGGGAAAATGTGTTGGTTTTTTTAATGAATACAAAAAAGGCACACTGGAACGGAGCAAGCTGCCTTGTACTGAGTCAGGCCACTGGTCCATCTTGCGCAGTGTTGCCTACTCTGGCTGGCAGCTGCTCTCCAGGACTGCAGATAGGGATCTCTCTCAGCCCTACCTGGAGATGTCAGGGATGGAACCCAGCTTCTTCTGCAAGCAAAGCAAATGCACTACTACTGAGCAATGGCCCTTCAAACTGCCTGAGGCACAGGAAAGAGTCAATCATGACAGGTAAATCAGGGACTGTAGCTTTGTTTTCCATGCCTGCAGGTTTTGCAGTTCACTTCCATGGTGGTTGTGTTCTGCCTCCACTGTCAGGGGCAGTTTGCTTCTGAATGCCTGCTGTTGGGAATCAAAAGGGTGCTGTTGCACTCATGTTCTACTTGGGGCTTATTATTTGGGCATCTGGTGGGTCTCTGTGAGAACACAATGATGGACAAGATTGGCCTGATCCATCAGCCAGGCTAATCTGGTGTTCTTATGGCTTAAACCAGTTAACAAAACATGAAAATGGAGTGATGTGAATGTTAAAGGTAAAGGTAAAGGTACCCCTGCCCGTACGGGCCAGTCTTGACATACTCTAGGGTTGTGCGCCCATCTCACTCAAGAGGCTGGGGGCCAGCGCTGTCCGGAGACACTTCCGGGTCACGTGGCCAGCGTGACAAGCTGCATCTGGCGAGCCAGAGCCGCACACGGAACACCGTTTACCTTCCCGCTGGTAAGCGGTCCCTATTTATCTACTTGCACCCGGGGGTGCTTTCGAACTGCTAGGTTGGCAGGCGCTGGGACCGAACGACAGGAGCGCACCCCGCCGCGGGGATTCGAACCGCCGACCTTTCGATCGGCAAGCCCTAGGCACTGAGGCTTTTACCCACAGCGCCACCCGCGTCCCTTTTGATGTGAATGTTAGGGAAGTGCAAAAAAAAAAAAAAGAGTCCCTGAGTTGTCAAAAAACTGACTTGCTAGGATAGAGGTGGGGAACCTCTGACCCTCCAAAAAAAAAAAATTGACTACAATTCGCATCAACCTCAGTCAGCATGGGTAATAATCTGAGATGGTAGGAGTTGAAGTTTGGCAACATCTGTGGGTTCCCCATCTCTACAGCAAGAAATTGTAGTGAAGACTAACATTCAGAAGGTGGCATCCAACAGGGCTCATATTCCATTATTGAGAAGCTGGAAAGTAACTGTCATAAGCAAAAGCAACTCTTGGAATCACAGCAACGTGGATTTGGATGGGGTCTTTGGGGGTCATCTAGTTCACGCTCCCTGCCCAATAATGCAGAATCTGCAATGCAAGGTGAAGCTGCATTAACCCTGACAGATGACCATCCAGACTCTGCTGAACCTCCATCTCATGCATGGGACTATTTTTGTATGTCTGTTGCTGTTTGGTTATATAACAGTGGCACTCCGACCCTGAAGACTGGAAATAAAAGGAATAATGTGGTGTCTCTGGACTGTACCACGGCATTGTACAGGTGGGCGTTCATATGGCGGTGTGCATATCAGGGTAATGGAAGGATATGGTGGGTGTGTGGGCGTGTGCACGCATGCACGCACACATGCACGTACGCCCATGCAGTCTGGTGAGCCTCTACCTCCAACCTGAAATGGTATAGTCCAAGCACAGAATTCTTATGATTCCAAGGGTTGTTTGGGGGAGGCAGTGTAGTTTGAAATCTGTTTATAATTATGGTCAAAAGTCCTCATATGATACTGTCTGCATGGAAATGAACTGCAAAACACCCAATAATGGGAGCACCGAATGCTAGCCCTACTCAGAGGAAACCCACTGACATTAATAAACTTGAGTAGCTTAGGTCTATTAATTTCAGTGGATCTACTCAAAGTCGTTGGATACAACCTAGTGGATTTTATACAATGCTAGTCCGACTCAGAGTAGACCCATTGAAATAAATGAACCTAAGTGGCCCTTGCCCACTAATTTCAGTGGGTCTATTGAGTACAATTAACATTGGCTACAACTCATAATCATTCCATCTGTGGATTGGGTTATCACCTGTGAGATGGATGGGCAACTTCCCATGCCAGCTCAATAACCATCCCAATTCACCTGGCAGCTGAGAAGATAATCAGCATGCATTTCTTTTCTTTTTTTAAAGAAAAGGGGGGGATATATCCTTTAATACTAGACATCTCCAACCTGATGCCCTCCAGAGGTTTTGGACTACAATTCCCATCGGCCACAGTCAGCATGACTGGCAGTTGGGGATGATGAAAGTCATCATTCAGAATATCTGGAAGGGGCCCAGTAATATTCTGAAAGGGGGGAGGGGGAGAAGCAGAGGGGAGGGGAGAGAGAGACAAGGAGGGAGGGAGAGAACCCAAGTAATAGCCTTATATTCTTCTCAGAACAGAACAAGTTCAAATACAGTTCTTTTAAGTCCAGAAACTGACAACCGGAAGATGGCATTATTAAAAGATCAAAATGTTATTAGATCAACCCACCTGACACAGAAAACATTTAAAGTAGAGGCAAAAAGGCATTTCATCACATTTCTAGAAATCATAAGCATCTTTCCTAAACATCATTAGCTTGATTTCTCTTTGTTTTATTTCTTAAGTTTCTTTCCACATCAGCAGAAAGGAAGTTTGTGGATCTATGCATTGCTGTTATTCTCCCTGGTCCCATAAAATTGACTTCCCATGTCTACTTACCTCTCCATTGATTTCCACCTGTGAGTGGAGTCAGACAACCATATTATTCATGTGATCATTGCAAGTAGTGCACCCTTGCAATTAACAACTCACCTGGGAGATGACCTGGAATTCTATCCAGAGGGAGTGAGCAGGCTGGTGGAGGAAGGAGAGACTGCCTTGACCCCTGCTTGCCAATTTCATTGGCTGCTATGCTAGACCCAGAGGAAGTGGTTAGCACCCTCCCACACTGAGCACAGAAATGTAGCAATCTTCCTTTCCTCCATCAGTCCACTTCGTAGAAGACACATCCTGGCTACCAGGGAGGGGACTTCTGGGTGGTGGCAATGAAGCCTACGAGCCTCTTAGATAGGGATGAACTTACCGGTCAATTTAAGTTTCCCTCTCATTTTTCTAATTAAAATTTGTTTTGCATTTCCGCAGCATCTATCAATTATTTAGTTCTATTTTATTTTAAATCCTCCGAAAATTCATCAGCATTATAGTGCTAATTTTCTTACTAAACTCATTTTTGTCTGCAGTTTTGGCTATTACATGCATTTTTGCAAGTAATGTTCCCTAACATAATGCATATTGTATGTTTTATTCACCAATATATGCATTTTCATGCACACTTTACTGTAATATGTACATTTTCGTGACACGTTGTTTGGTTGGGAAACTGCATTGCAAAATTCAGAGAACTGCAATTTTTGGAAGAAGAGCTGTTTTGGTCCACGTGTTGCTTCAAGAGCTGCAAATTTGGTAGTTTCTTATGAAGATACAAATTAAATTGAATTCCTCCCCCAGCCCTATTATTAGGTTTGGATAAATATGCTGACTTGTAACTTCTGGGGCCTGATTTACAAGACTAAATTAGCAGGCAAAGAGTTTGTTGCATTTTAAATATTTAATTGCATCAATATTCTCATTGACATAGGTCAAGTTATCATCAGTACTCAAATTATTGGGGTAGGGAGATAGAGATGCCCTTAATGAAATCCACAAACTAATCTGCTGGTGCCTTCATTTTCAGTCCTGCCCACTGCAGTCCTGCCCTCTAAGATGGTTAGTTAAGGCAGCCTTTAAAAAAAGGAACATAGGAAGAGCCCAGCAGCACATCCAGTCCATCATTCTGTTCTCATAGTGACCAACCAGCTGCCCCAATGGGAAGCCCATCATCAGCACCCGAGTGCAACAATGCTCTTCCTATCTGCATATGGCATTCAGAAGCATTAAAAGAGTGTTATGCTCATCCTCCCCCCATAATTTGAGCACTTCTTTTAATCTCTGAAAATGTCAGTGGCAAGAGGACTGAGGGGGTGAGATGATTAATGGGTGAACTCGAAATGCACAGATTACCCTGATGTGTAAGAATAGATAAATTTATCAAAATGCTGCTGTGATTATTAATACTCAGCATGGGTTTCTCAAAAATAAGTCATGCCCAACCAATCTCATTTTTTTGAGGAAATTACAAGCTTGGTGGATCAAGGGGATGCTGTGGACATAGTGTATCTTGATTTCAGTAAGACATTTGACAAAGTCCCTCATGATATTCTTGAAAGGAAGCTGGTAAGATGAAGGAATTAAGGAGATGTTCATCAATTTTGCAGATGACACCAAAGTGGGAGCAGTAGTTAATGCCACAAAAGGCAAAATCAGAGTTCAAAATGATCTTAATGGCTTAGAGAACTGGGCGCAAGCTAACAAAATGAATTTCAGTACAGACAAAGATGAGGTTCTGCACTTAGGCAGGAAGAACCAGAAGCACAAATATACAATAGGGGACATCTGGCTTACTAGTGAAAAGGATCTAGGGGTCTTGGTGGACCACAAGATTAACATGAGTCAACAGTTTGATGCAGCAGCAAAGAAAGCTAATGTTATTCAAGGCTGCACCAACAGAAGTATGGTGTCCAGATCAAGGGAAGTAATAGTACCACTTTGTTCTACCTTGGTCAGATGACACTGTGTGGAATACTGTGTCCAGCTTTCGGTACCACAATTTAGGAAGGATGTGGACAAGCTGGAATGTGTGCAGAGGAGGCCAACTAAGATGATCAAGGGTCTGGAAGTCTAACCTTATGAAGAACGGTAGAAGGAGCTGGGTATGTTTAGCTTGGAAAAGAGGAGACTGGGAGGAGATATGATAGCCATCTTCAAATATCTTAAGGGCTGTCACATGGAAGAGGGAACAAATTTTCTCTTGCTCTGGAGGGTAGGACTTGAACCAATGGCTTCAAGTTACAAGAAAGGAGATTCTGACTAAACATACAGAAAAACTTTCTGACAGTAAGAGCAGTTTGACAGTGGAACAGTCTCCCTCAGGAGGTTGTGGACTCTTCTTCCTTGGAGGTTTTTAAGCAGAAGTTGGATGGTCATCTGTCATGGATGCCTTAGGTGAGATTCCTGTATTGCTGGGGATTGGACTAGATGACCCATAGGTCACTTCCAACTCTACTATTCTATTATTTTAAGGTGCGCTTGCAAGAGCATACGTACCAGGCTGCAGGGTCGTACTCAGCCCAGACGCGGATAAACTCATCAAGATGGTGGGGTCCTAGGATGGAAGAGTCTCGTGTCAAGTACTCAAAGTTGTCCATAATTACAGCCACAAACAGGTTCAACATCTGCAAAGGGGAAGGTGAGGGAGATGAAATTGGGGGTGGGAAGGAGGAAAGACATTAGCTTCTCTTAGTAAGGAATCAATGCAAAAACAAAAGGATAACTCAAAAAGGAAGAGGAGTATAAATAAACTAGTGTTGTTGTTGAAGAGAAAAAGGCAGAGTCTGAAGTGTCAAATGCAGAAATCTGTGGACACATTCGCTCATACACTGAAAATGCTATATCACTTTAAACAGTCATGACTCATCCCAATTTTTTTTGGGGGGGGCTGTAGTTTGCTAGCAGTGCTGAGAGTTCTAAGGAGGCCGCAATTCCCCTCACAGAGCTACAATTCGCAGAGTTCCCCGGGGAAAGGGGGGTTGAAATTGTAGGGAATAGGGGCATCCTAACACCCTTAACAAACTACAATTCCCAGTATTCTTTGGGGGAGCCATGACTTTTAAAAGTGGTTCCATATTGTTTTCAATGTATGGTGTGAATGTGTCCCGTGTCGCCTTTCCATGCCTTTCTCACACTTTTGCCCAACTGGGAAGCATCCTTGAACACATCCTTGAATATTGCTAAGCCCCCTTGCTTGCTTGGATGGAGAGAGAGATATGAAGTGTGCATACATAGCAACCACTGAGTTTGTGTGGCTGGAATACAACCTACTGGTGGGTGGAAAGGTTGTCCTGTCCATTGCTGCACCAACTTCTTGCCTCTGACCCTCCCCGCCACTAGCGTGCGACCCCTGGAAAGCAGCACTCTGGCTGATAAAGGTTGTCACTCTTCTGAGCTACAGTGAAAAGGGGGTTTATCCATTTCCTTGTCCATATTGTTCTATGGCTTTGCTGAATTCTGCTCTACATCCTGCCCAGAGCCACGCTGGGAACATTTTACTGCCTGACGAAATAACCGCCACCTCCCACTCCATGAACAAAAGCCAGCCAGACTGGTCATTGAATGCTACTTCAATACTGCCAATGGGTCATCCTCCTCCACTCAGCCTAAGGACAGTAGGCTAGTTTAAGTGGCAGGGAGCTGCTTGAATGATACACAACACTGTTCTCTAGCAATTCACCACTGGTAACTGCCTCCCAACATGTTGCAACTGTCACCACACTCTGCCTAACGGTAGGGCTGGCTACAATATAACTCCTCTCAAATTTCAGTTTAACTAGGAGAATTGCATTTAAAAAAAAAATCATTCCAGAATTGGAGCATGTGCAGAGTGCTGCAGCTTTCATGGTGATAGGACACTGCAAAAAAGAAGAAGGTGTTTTGATATGATAGCATGTCTGTCTGGCTGCATTGAAACATTCCTTAATCAGTGATACTACCTGCACATTGGTGAAACATCGCACAGAAAGAAACTAGATAGTTTCTTTGTGGTGTGCTGTTTCACTAATATGGCAGAGTGTCACTGATTAAAGGATGCAGTGATGCAGCCAGTGCTTTTCTTCTAGAAAAATAGGTGCCACCACTCACCATGAAGTTGTTAATGTAAGTGCCACACTTTAAAAAAAAAACACAAGAAAAAGAGTACTGGGTACCATAGAATATCCCCCAGAAAAAAACAACACTACATATAACCATAAATACTTATTTACCCTGGCTTTTGATACTTAAAATGCCTATCTCTGAGGGGCTGAGGACCTTGAACGTGGAGGGTAGTTGCAGCACAGGGATGGGCAAGCAAGACAAGCGGAATGACCAACTCACCAGAAAGGAGCAGAGGAAGATGAAGGAGACAAAGTAAAAGTAGGCAAAGTCACTGCCGCACTCATTTTTGCCAAGGTTGGAGAGCTTATCGCAGGCTTGGTTGCTGAGACATGCAAGCATGATTTCATGCCAAGCTTCCCCAGTGGCGCTCCTGAAAGCAGAAAAAAGAAGTTGTCTTATTGAACTAAAAAGAAGAGTACAAAATTATGCATAGGGTGAAGAAGGGAATAGAGAAAACATTTCCTCTTCTTGCAAAGCACTAGAACTCATGGACGCCCGATGAAGCTGAATATTGGGAGATTCAGGACAGGCAAAGGATGCAGAGTTAAAGTATGGAACTTGCTCCTGCAGGAGGCAGTGGTGGTCACCAACCTGGATGGCTTTAACAGAGGATTAGGCAGATTCATGGAGTGTTAAATGGCCACTAAACTCAATGGCTATGGTCTACCTTCACTGATGACAGTAGTAATGATTTTGAATACCAATTGATGGCAACTACAAAATGGGAGGATGCTATTGAGCTCTGGTTCTGCTTTCAGACAGCCCATAGCAGTGGCGTAGCGTGGGGGTGCAGGGGGGGCCGGCCGCACTGGGCGCAACATCTGGGGGTTAGGGTTAGGTGGCGCAAATCCACGGGTTAGGGGGCGCAAATTACTTGCCTTGCCCCGGGTGCTGACAACCCACGCTACGCCACTGGCCCATAGGCATATGGTAGGACACTGTGAGAACAGGATGCTGGGCTAGGTGGGCCAATGGCCTGATCCAGCAGATCTCTTATGGTTGCTTATTGGCCTTGCACATGTATTGCACGAGTAAGCCATCTGCCTGTGGTGTACCTTAACATTCTTTAGTGGGTGGCAAAGAATGTGCAAGAGGAAGTAATCTCAGTAGAACTAGAGAAAGCAACAGTCACATCTACAATAGCGCCCTCACTGTATAGTATATCAAAAGGGTTGGGAACCTTTTTCAGCCCAAGGGTGGTACTTCTTTGGCGGAGGGGAACTTCCTGGAAATGCATGTAAGTGGTGGGTGGGACAAGAGCCAAAAGTGGGTGGAGCTATTGAGGCAAGAAAGAAGGGCTACCCCTATGCTATCCATATAATCAGTAATCAGTAATCAATATATTCAATATATATCCACATATGTTGCACATAATCAAGGCTTACAGTATTTTATAACCCATTTTGAATCAAAGGGAAGCTGTGCCTTAGCAAACTGCAAACTGCTTGAAACAGCAAAGTTAGGAACCGACCTTTCCCCTATAAACATCTGTGTACCCCGGACAAGGGGAAAGACGTGAATCAGAGATTCTGGTACAAATTCCCCTCAGATACAGGCTAAATTAATCCACAGAACAGGAAGAGCAAAACCACAAAATCTCCAAGCTCCCTGTCCTGTCATAACTAGGGGAAAGGTTAGACAGAGCGTCACTGCAAGCATCGGAAAGCAGAACCAGAATCCAGTGCTTGACCAGGGTCGGGTAGCGTGACAAGAGCTTGCTGATTGGCTGATTCTCGCTGACAATATTGTGAGTCCCTCATGATTGTCTTATGATCTATGATTTGCTGTGATTTGCTCAGGTATAAAGACCTCTGGATTTCTGTCAATCGGGGTCCCAGTTCTTTGGAAGATATTCCAACTGGGTCCTTATTGCCTGGCAATAAACCTCACCTTCTTATTCTCCAATTGCTGTCTCTGGCTGATCCTTATTTTAACCACCTGGCGAGTACCCCATTTGCTTTACTATCAATGCGATTCTTAGCTTTTTACAGAAGGCTACATTTTACCTACATAGAAGTTAGAGGTTCCCCAACACATACACACACACACACACACACACAGAGAGAGAGAGAGAGAGAGAGAGAGAGAGAGAGAGAGAGAGAGAGAGACTCCTCTACCCCTCCATCCTCCATCCAGGAAGCAAAAAGCATTATCATAGTTCAAAAACACATTCTAGCTGTGAAGGAGAGCTGGCGAAGGGTGTGGTATGGCCTAGAAAGAGACTTGAGGTCCTGTCAGCAAGGCATGGAGAGCCACATAAGTCATGACATAAGGACCACACAAGTGAGCTCCCCCAGACCTGATCTGCTATAGGCTTTTCCCCTAACTTTGGCCCATACAGGTGTTTTGCTCATGTGTTAAAACCTACACACAAGCAGAGAGAGCAAAGATGTGTGTGTTAGGTTCTGCTGTGCCCCGGTTGTCCACCAAGTGGGGCAGAAGTAAGGAGTTCTTGAAGTGATAGAGCCCACCCCCACTTCTACAGTTTAGAAGCCTGCATAATTGGGTTCTAAATCACCCAGGGGAGTGTCATGGGTACAGGGTGCTCCCTTTGTTAGACCTTTACCCTCTAATGTTGTTTTTAGTGCTGTGACTTGCCCTGGGACTTCCCGTTGGAGGCTGGGAAATAGATAGATATAGATAGATGATGATGATATAGATAGATTAGATAGATAGATGATAGATAGATAGATGATAGATAAATAGATAGATAGATAGACAGATATATAGAACACAGAGACAGATTGCTTGAACTGGACTTTTCTGTCAAAGAGACCTGTGTTTTCTGTCATATCGGGGAGTGGGGGAGAGAAATTAGATCTCACAAGCTTAGAAGCAAAGCACCTAATCTCTTTATGGAAAATAAAAGACCCAATTAAATTAAGTTAGGATTTGTGCACATAAAGGATTTGTGTTCATTAACAGTTTGAATACCACAGGATTAATGCCAGGTAATGCTGAAGTATTAATGAACACAAGCTGTCTGATGTAAACAATTAAGTTTGCATTAACTTCTGCTTGGGAGGAATTGAAAGATGCAGAGGGCAGGTAGAGGCAAGGCCCTCTGCAGCTTTTATCAACATAAACTGAGCATGGGAACAGATTATGCTAACACCCATCACCCTCCCAGCTAAACAATTGGATATTTGCATACATAATCATTTAAGGACGCTTTCATGTCATGCGTGACATTTTTACAATCAGCAAAATATCAAACCAGAGGTGGGGAAATTTAGTCTGTCGGTGGGCCACATTCCCTTATGGGGGACCTTTCAGGGGCCACATGCTAATTGTGGGCAGGGCCTTCTTTACCCACATTTTGCATGCTTCCAAATCTTTTTGTTTCCTTGTGCTTACCCCTCCCCTCCAGCTTCTGTGGCTTTAATATCTGGCCGATTTGAATCTTTCAATTGGTTGGTAATCATTTTTAATGGATGTTTGTCAGGAGTGCTGGAGTCCCAGCAAGGGGCTGAGAGGTAAGATGTAAGTATTTACATAAACATATGGTCAGGAGCCAGCTCTGCAGCTGCCAGTGAGATTGTTCAGCCAATTGGAAAGAAACATCCACCTTCTAGCAGTACTGAGGAAAGCATGCAGCTGAAAAATAGAGAAGGAGCTGTCTGCATTTCCCCAGAGAGTCCCTAACTGAGGGCTTATCACTTACCTTTTTTAAAAAAAATATATTTATTGAAATTTTAGATAGTAAAACAAGCTTCACAATCAACCAAAAAAAGAAAAACATTATCACAATCAGACAAAAACAGAAGAATACAATAGAAAACATAAAAAGGTAAAAAGAAGAAAAACATAAAAAACATAAAAATCCATTTTTTTACTTATTATTTTTATAACCCTCTTTCCTGACTTCCTCACATCTCCCTTTTCTGTGTTCCCTTTTACACGCTCATATTCAGCAGTACCTTAAAGGTAAAGGTAAAGGTACCCCTGCCCATACGGGCCAGTCTTGACAGACTCTAGGGTTGTGCGCCCATCTCACTCAAGAGGCCAGGGGCCAGCGCTGTCCGGAGACACTTCCGGGTCACGTGGCCAGCGTGACATCGCTGCTCTGGCAAGCCAGAGCTGCACACGGAAACGCCGTTTACCTTCCCGCTAGTAAGCGGTCCCTATTTATCTACTTGCACCCGGGAGTGCTTTCGAACTGCTAGGTTGGCAGGCGCTGGGACCGAGCAACGGGAGCGCACCCCGCCACGGGGATTCGAACCGCCGACCTTTCGATCGGCAAGCCCTAGGCGCTGAGGCTTTTACCCACAGCGCCACCCGCGTCCCTTCAGCAGTACCTTACCTTCTTTCAAATCTTATTCTATATTATACATTTCAACCTATTATGTCTCCAATTTTCCTTTCCTTTTAAATCCATTTTTACCTGTTCTTTATAACTTAATCCCTTTATGTCATTTTGTTTAAGTTTGACATAATATTATTCTAGCTTTTTCACCCTTATTCTTATAAAACATTTTTTACATATTCCTTTCAACTATGTCACTGATGCCATATTGTCTTTATATCCTGCATCATTTTAGCCTTCAAACATTTTGCAATGTTTTTGCAGGTAGTCTTTGAACTTCTTCCAATCCTCTTCTACTAACTCTTCTCCCAGGTCTCGGATATTACTTACCTTTTCTCCGTGCTTCCCAAGCATGGTCCACATTTTAAAGCTCTGTCTGAACCCATGAAAACCTACTCTTTAAACTGAATTGCTGCAAACAGTAATCCACGGAAAACCCAAATTGACATGTGCTCCAATTCAGTGGTGAAGAACGAGGTGTTTTTTCAGGGAAAGCTCCAGGGCAAAAAGAGAAAAGAAAAAGAAAAGGTTCTTGGAGATGGAGCTTTAACGTATGGACCTGTGCCTGCAAAATGTGGATAAGCCCTAAGAGCGAATGGAAGCAGGCAGAGGTCCTACCTCTGAGGATGGGGAAGCCAGAAAGGTGGTGGAGGATGGAGATACTATGAGAAAATGAGACTGGGAGGAAGGAAAGCAGTGAACTGAAGATGTGGACAGAGGGGAAGCCAGGGAGTTCCAGGGAGTTGAGAAGGTATTCCACAAGGCAGGGAACCTATGCTGAAGGAAGGCCAGGGGAGGAAATAAAGCATACAGACAGACATAAATACACCAGAAGAACCTGCTGGATCAGGCCAATGGGCCATCTAGCATCCTGTTTTCACAGTGGACAACCAGATACCCCAGTGGGAAACCCACAAGAAGGAACTGAGCACAAGAACATTCTCCCCCCCCCCCCGGGGTTTCCAGCAACTGGTATTCAGAAGCATTACTGCCTCTGATTATGGAGGCAACACACAGTCATCATGGATAAAGGTAAAGGGACCCCTGACCATTAGGTCCAGTCATGGCCGACTCGGGGGTTGCGGCGCTCATCTCGCTCTATAGGCCGAGGGAGCCGGCGTACAGCTTCTGGGTCATGTGGCCAGCATGACTAAGCCGCTTCTGGAGAACCAGAGCAGTGCACGGAAACGCCATTTACCTTCCCGCTGGCGTGGTACCAATTTATCTACTTGCACTTTGAAGTGCTTTCAAACTGCTAGGTTGGCAGGAGCCATCATGGATAGTTGTCATGAATAGTACTCTCCTCCATGAATTTGTCTAATCCTCTCTTAAAGCCATCCAAGTTGGTGACTACCACTGACTCCTGTGGGAGTGAGATCCATGGTTTAACTATGTCCTCCATGAATAACTACTTTTTTATATGGGCTCAATAATAACATGAGGGCTCATCAAGTGGACATAAGAGAGCCTGCTCCCAGTGTTCTGATGTTCCTATGCACTGACAGATGAGGTGGGACCTTGCACAAACAACTTCAAGAAAGACCATCACACAAAACAAGCAGGCACTGGTGGGAACTTTGGTGTCTCATCGTTGCTGTCAAATTGTTGGTGTGAATTGGTCCAACTATACTGGTCCTGGCTGGCCCATTCCTGGGAGTTGTTTCATTTTAAGTGAACACACAGATAATGATAGTTTGCTTATGAATGGCCTCATTTCCTTCCATTGACACCCACCCCAGAAGGCACTGGCAGAGGAAGAGGGGGGGCAGGGGGAGCACACTGCCCCCGGCAGTGCGATCCCAGTGGGGTGCCATTGCAGCTGCCCCCCCCCCGTCAGTGCTGGGCGCCACACCCCCACAGGTGGCATGCCATGCCCCCAGGTCACGCGCCAGCCACGCCCCCACCTGCTCTCCACCCCCTGGTGCCGGAGCATGAAGCTCCGCCACTGCCAGAAGGGTCAATGAATTTGATTACAGAGAGATGGTTTATTGTTTACCGGAAAAGCAGCATCAGGGCTTGCAAAAACGTTTGGAAATTGTTGTGTCGATTGATGGCAGAGTCGTCATTCAGTGCAATGTTTCCAAAGACCTGGGGGTGGGGGAGAGGAAATGGTCAAAAAGCAGATTAAATGGAAATCCAATTGGAGGCAAAGTCGTCAGAGAAGCAAGCAGAACTGACCGTGGTTCTGAGCAGCAGGCATATTGCTTAGGGGTGGGAAAATATTTCAAATTCAGTTTTTCTCAATTTACTACCCGCCATCTTCAGTTTGCCTGTTGTACCCCCCCCCTTTTAAAATCTACATGTATGCTTTTTCATGCACATTTCCCCTACTATATTTGGGGGGGGGGATATATCTTCCTTTCCACCAGCAGGGTGGAACTGAGGATCTTTACCAGCAGTGTATTAAATCTGTTTTATACCAATTTAATCATTGTGGTTTCTTTAGCTTGGTGAAGGTTCTAAGGTTTTTCTGTGAACAGATCCCCAAGCTACATTCTGAAATGGTACATTCTAAAACAGGAACTCTGCAGCTTTTTCTGTTTCTGCCTTGAAATGAGATCTATATCAAAGAATTTAGAGCAATGCAAAATCCAGAACGTAAGTAGATCCCAAAGTAGGTAATAATCAGGTCAGTTTGGAATGCACAGATATAAAATTCCTCAAGCATTCTTAGACTTGAGTTGTATGCAGCCATGATCAGAGTTGTACTGGATACAAACTACTAACTTCAAAATGAACTTCAAGATCAGGATGAAGGAATCTGTCAATTTTGGTTTCTCTCTGTTTCCCCCTTTAATCTTTAATCCAGTTCTCTATGTTTTCACAGCAGTTTGCATGCTGCTGGATACTTCTTTTAACCCTCATGAAGAATTTGTCAGCAGTTTTGTGCAAATTTCTCCAAATATGTATACGTAGTTTTGACTCAGGTACACATTTCTGGAAGCAATTTCCCCTCATATAATATATGTATGTTATTTATTTCCCCTAAGATGTTGACATCAGGCAGGCACCTTTGCTGTTCTCCTTTCAACACCCACTTTTAAAAAACCAATTTGTTTCTGCAAGCCTCTCCAGATGTGTTGGTGTTGCAATGTTTTAAACTCTTTTACACACACACACACACAGTATTTTTCTGTGTATAAGACTAGGTTTTTTCCTAAAAAATAATGTCAAAAATTAGGGGGCGTCTTATACACGGGGCCATCTCCCCCCATTTTCTTAAATCTGAGTCCCCCAAAATAGGGTGTGTCTTATACATGGGGGCATCTTATAGACGGAAAAATACTATCTATCTATCTATCTATCTATCTATCTATCTATCTATCTATCTATCATCTATCTATCTATCTATCTATCTATCTATCTATCTATCATCTATCTATCTATCTATCTATCATCTATCTATCTATCTATCTATCATCTATCTATCTATCTATCATCTATCTATCTATATCATCTATCATCTATCATCTATCATCTATCTATCTATCATTTGCAACAATCAATTGAGTGGCATATTAAATTTTGTTAAATAAAACAGTAAAATATGCATTTTTATGCACACTTTCCCCTAATATATGCATTTTTTTGAAAACAACAATAGCAACTGGATAACTGGATAAGTTGGCTGCAGTGCTGCATCACCAAGTTAATCACAAAACAATGTGAATCATGGAGGGTACCCATGTTTCAGTTCACATATTGGTTTGGAAAATGCAAATCAGGCAGCTTCGCATTAAAATGCAAAGATTTGGAATTTCTTCCCCCATCCCTACTCCAGCCTGGTGCATTTGGTATGACTGCTGCTGCAATTTACCTGCATGCCAATAATGGCATAGATGAAGAAGAGCATGGCAATGAGAAGACACACATAAGGCAATGCCTGTGGGTGGAAAAAAAAAGGGGGGAAAGCATCAACACCTGCAATGATACATCTAAGAACAAGAATGTTTAGTATGTGGCCACACCTGGACAAGGTTTCACATAGAAGCACAGGTTTATTGATACCCCAGAAGAATATAAAAATCCTAATGGTTCGCATCCAGGCTAAAGTTCAATTTTGCACTATACATTTAAAGAAGTAACATCATAGCATGTTAAACACTCATGGCTTCTACCAAAAAATCATGGGAACTGTAGTTTGTTGAGGGTGTTGAGAGTTGTTAAAGGTAAAGGTAAAGGGACCCCTGACCATTAGGTCCAGTTGTGGCTGACTCTGGGGTTGCGGCGCTCATCTCGCTTTATTGGCTGAGGGAGCCGGCGTACAGCTTCCAGTCATGTGGCCAGCATGACTAAGCTGCTTCTGGCGAACCAGAGCAGTGCACGGAAATGCCGTTTACCTTTCCGCTGGAGCAGTACCTATTTATCTACTTGCACTTTGACGTGCTTTCGAACTGCTAGGTTGGCAGGAGCTGGGACCGAGCAACAGGAGCTCACCCCATTGCGGGGATTCGAACCGCTGACCTTCTGATCAGCAAGCCCTAGGCTCTGTGGTTTAACCCACAGCGCCACCCGCGTCCCCTTGAGAGTTGTTACGAGTCCCCTATTTTCTCTCTTGCTGAGCTACAATTCCCAAAGTGGTTTTACAGCCAATCCCTTTTCCTAGGGAGCTCTGGTAACTACAGCTCTGTGAGGAAAATAGAAACCATTCTCATCACCCTAAACAAGTTACAGTTTTCAGGATTCTTTGAGGGAAGCCTTGACTGTTTCAAGTTTCCTCACAAAACTCATGACTGCTTCCTAACAAAAATTCATATGGGTCTTGGTGCAAATTTTGCCTCACATACATATTATTGTATGCAATATGGCCTGTTATTCAAAATGTTTGCAAAGCAATTTTGTCTAGTATAATACCTCATATGTTATTTTTACTAATATATGCATTTGCAAACATTTTGAATGTATCAGTATTTTAGTAAATGTGTTTATGTATTTCTTATACATGTAACCGGCTGGATAACTGCATTGCACAATTAAACGAACCACAAACTTCATTTTTTAATCATTTTTTAAAATTTAATTTCCCAAAAAATTAACACATACATTTCAATACATAGTGAAACATTTTTTCTTTGTTTTTGTTGCTGTTACTGACTTCCCACCCCCTTATCCATGGTGGCTTATTTCTCTCCCTCTGCAGCACCTTGTCTTCTGTCTCTTATATCTAACACTACTATGATCTTTTAAGTTCTTCTGTTGCTCATAGTTCAAATCCTGATCACGTATTCATCATATTTCTTTAAATAGTGTGAAAAAGGCTTCCATTCTTCCACAGAAGCATGAATTTCAAAGCATAACTGTGATTCCGTTAACTTATTGTTTTGGGAAGTATGCGTTAGGTTGGATTCACCATTAAAAAGTCAACTTAGGTATTCAAATTTATCCCAGATCCCTGACTACAACATGTCAGATAGATGGCTACCTACACTCTGTTAAAACCATAGGTGGGGAACCTCAGCCAAATATCACCTTCCAGGCCCCTCTATCTAGCCCCTGAACTTTTCCCAGGCCACTTTGCTTTGTCCCCTCCTTGAGTGATTTATGCCTGGCTGGGATGTGTCCTTGGACTCTGATAATGCCTCCTGTTTGCCTGGATGGAGGATAGATAGGGCTGTGTGAGTGTGGGTACAAACCAGCCTGCTATACAGAGGTCAAATTTACATCTGTTGCTCCACCCACTCTTCCCTCTGGTCCTGCCCACCACCCATGGCATTTGGCTCTTGGGAAGGCTGCTGAGAAAGTGTTCTCTACCTCACCTTGAAAGACTGGACAAAGGTCCAGAGGAGGATCCGGATGGTGTAGCCCTGGCGAAGAAGCTTGATGAGCCTGGCAGCCCGAAATAGGCGGAGGAAGCTGAGGTTGATGAAATTGTCCTGCGGAGAGGAAAGGGTTTTGTGTCCTTCAGACACAGATGGGATCGGAAGCCACAGCCCGCAAAAAAGAAAAGAAAATTACCAGCTTCGCGTTCTAAGCAGCAAATCGGCCACCAGAAAACCTTCCAAAAGAAACATTTGTCAGTGCAGGTCACTCCACATGCAGCATGTTTGAGAAAACTCCTCTCCACAAGAGTCCCTCCCTTGGCTATGGAGAACGTAGCCAAAAAAAAAAAAAAAAGGAAGAGAAAGGCGGAGGGGAGAGATCCCTCTTATGGATTCCTGGGCTTTCAACCCTCCCACCCTACACGTTAAGGAAAAGTAATGGGGAAGTATTATCAGCTGTGATTGTGTAGGCTGTGACTAGGGGATGTCTAAAGCAGCCTGTGTCAACCAGGGACCCCTCATATGTGACTGGACTACTGCACCCACCCAACCTGACCATTGGGCCATGCTGGTTCGGGGCTGATGGGAGTCGGAGTACAAAACAATGTCTAGAAGGCACCAAGCCAGGGAAGGCTCATATGAAATGAACCTACCTATGCCTAAAAACAATGTCATGAATGGTCAGGTGTGAGCCTCCTCCATGCTATATGAAGGGAGAGGGCAACTTACTTTGAGGTAGTTCAAAACCACGTTAGCAGCTGAGCTTGGATTTTGTGTAAAATCTCTCCACCGCCCCAGTGGTGTTCTTGTTTGATTCTGCCTTATTCTCTGATTAACAACAAATAAGTCCTCTAACTATCCGATCCAACAAAAATGGTGTTGGTGTATGAGAGCAGGGGACTTCCCATCTATTGGTCAAATAGTCTCTGGGTTTGGTGTGAAGCCAATTAAATCAGAATGGGAAATTTTAGCAGCCTCGTTTCAGTTTGTTTCCTTTCTATACATATAAAAGCCCACTTTGGGTTTCCTCAAGAACAGAGCAGGGAGAGGTACCACAGTCAGAGAGGGGCCTTGAAGGAAAGCTAAGCAGGTTAAAGACTTGGTTTTTCCCCACCACCCTTCATCTTTTACCATTTGTAGGGGTGGGGAACCTCGAGCCCAGGGCCCCTCGGATCTTTCTATTTGGCTCACAATGGCACTGTTCTGCACCCTGACCGCTTTTGACTGGCTAAAACATGTCCTTCAACTCTGATCAATCGTTTTGCTTGCCTGAATGGAGGACCGAGACAGATGTACGTACAAACTTAACTATTATTCAAAGGCCAAATTTTACACCCATTGATAGACCCACTTTTGCCTCTGGCCCTGCCCACCACTGATAGGTGGCCCTTGGAAGATTGCCTAAAAGAAGATGTGGCCATTGGGCAGAAAAAGGTTCCCCACCCCTGTACTATTAGATGCCTTTCAGGATGAAAGCTGCCTCCCCAACCCCACCCCACACACCTTGCTAACTTGAGCTCAAGAGACTCACAGGTTTATCCGGCTTTTTATTCATATGCCAGTCAGCTGATGGTTGCACCAGCAGTGCTACATTCCACCAGCTCTGTCAAGATTCAAGGGAAACAGCCGCTAAGCATGCATTTGGCTTGGCCGGCAGTTTTCTGTTTGTTTCTTTTTAAAGAGGTAAGCAGCTCAGAGTAGGGTGTCTACACCATACATGGGACTCAATCCTCAAATAAAGAGAAAAGAGAAAAGCAAAAAAAAAGAAGAAGAGATGCCCACCGAATGAGTAGACAACACTGAGCAAGCTCACAGCAAAGCAAAGCAAAGCAAAGCAAGCAAGAATTCTCCTGGGCTGCTCAAGGTGGACAAATGGAAAAGCTAAGAAATATTAGTTTCGGTTGTGTTATTTTTAAGCTCTTCATTTGTTTCCCACCCACCCCTGCCCTCAAGTTAATATACCTGCCTTTCTTTCCTGATGGAGGTTCAAGGTTTCTGACAGCATCAAAACAACATAAAAATTGTACTTTTTAGCAAAAATATGAATTCAAATTGCCTTTATTTTCTTTTTAAATAGCTGTATAGTAGTAGTAGTAGTAATAGCAGCTTCTAATCTGCATTTGAAGACTACAATTAGGAAAGAAAAGGAATATATATGCAGGGTTGCAATTCTGTCCTTGTAAACTCAGTTTTGATGAATTTACTAATCATGTAACTTTAAATTGTGACCATTATCAGTGGCTGATGCCCTGGCATCCCTTTGGTGTAACATCAGAGTGCAAGTAAAAATTTGGAGCTGCTCCAAAAGAGTTTTAATAGAGCATTCTTGAATATGACACGACCAATTCATAATTTTTTCAAAGACACTCCCCTACTTTCTTTAAATGTGAGCTCCAGCTTCTGAGACTAAAAGTGAGCTAGAGGAAGAATATCTTCTTTGCGACAAATCAATTAGCAAACTTAAATTCTCAGCTATCAAATTAAAGACCAATATGTGGCCAGGATGCTAGACTGTTGAGTGAGTGTATGTGAAGCGGGTGAAATGTCCACATCATGTTAAATTGTTAGGACAGCCAGTGGAAGATAATTTCTCTACTTGGGGTTCTGTTGGACTTGGGGACTTGTGGCAGCTGCACTCCCAAACCTGCTGTTTGTTCCACATATTCAGCTCCTTTCCATAAACTGTTGTCTGCTGTTGGAGACTACATCAAAAACTGGGGATAAATAGCAGCCCTGGAAAATTAGAGTTTATCAGCATTTACAAAGCTCTCACGGGACCATTCTCAGCATCAGTTTGCAGAGAACTCAGTGGCTCGAGCAACAGAAACAGCCAGCAGAACCAACTCCTGTCCAATAAATCTAGGCAGTCTAGGCAGTCAGCATGCACAGAGAGAGGTAACTCAATACATCTGTATTTCTAGTTTCCAACAATATTGACTATAATGTCAGTCAAGAGTGGCTCAAGAGCCAGGACTCATATGCCTGGTCTCGGATTGCCTATTCCTTCACTACCTTTTAAAAAACTTTTCTTAAAAAAAGCTTTGATTAGAGCAGAGATTGTCAGCGTGATGCCTGTGAGTGAAAATATGTTCTTGGGAAGACTCCCATGACACCCATGAAGTGTCTGAGCCCCTCCCGAGTCCTCTTGGTCATGACATGGCAAGGATGGTGACCTTTTCCCTCCCCTGAAATACACTTAGGTATGAAGGAGGAAGTGGGAAGAATGATACTTGGAATGATACCAGATCTGTTGGATCTGGATCTGAGTAAAAGCCTTGGAATAGTGAATTGGGTGAGCATGTGCTGGAGAGAAGAGAGAAGGGACTAGAGAGGGTGTTCAAGGCACTTGCTCAAAAATCTGTAAAGTGCAGTCAAACCCCAGGGAGTGGCATCGCAACGGGGGGTGGGGGGGTTGCACCCCGGGTGCTGTGTCTGGGGGGGTGACAAGAAGGCACCCCACGGGGGCTCACGGTGGCATGAGCAGCCATCACGCCACTGCAGCTGCATGTGGAGTATCCTCCGTTCGTGGCTGCAACCACGAGAAGAGGATCCCACCACTGGAGGCAAACCGCTATGTACAGCGCATGTGCAGCGTCGCTACGTACGGCACATGTGTCATACGTAGCGATGCCCCGCCCCGGGTGTCATGACGTTTTCGTTCGCCCCTGAATCTTATAATTTAAATTTATAATTTAGGTAAAGGTAAAGGGACCCCTGACCATTAGGTCCAGTCGTGACCGATTCTGGGGTTGCAGCGCTCATCTCGCTTTATTGGCCGAGGGAGCCGGCGTACAGCTTCTGGGTCATGTGGCCAGCATGACTAAGCCACTTTGGCAAACCAGAGCAGCGCATGGAAACGGCGTTTAACTTCCCGCTGGAGCGGTACCTATTTATCTACTTGCACTTTGACGTGCTTTCAAACTGCTAGGTTGGCAGGAGCAGGGACCAAGCAACGGGAGCTCACCCTGTCACGGGGATTTGAACCACTGAGCTTCTGATCGGCAAGTCCTAGGCTCTGTGGTTTAACCCACAGTGCCACCCGTGTCCCAATTTATAATTTAAATGGAGGCAAATAAACTTTTAAGTTTTCATATTAACATTTCTTGCAAATACTGTAGATAGCAGTTGGGGTAAAGGGCCCAGAAAATCTTGTTGGCACACCATAGCTCAGTCAGAGTTGGGGGGGGGGTTCCACTGCTCTCTGAAAATCAGCTGAAATCTGCATCTATGCATATACATTAGCATATGCATATGTTATGGAAATGTGTTGTGGGCCTGTGTTCTGAGTCTTAGAAGTACCCAGCAATTTCCACGTTGTCAGTTTCAATAAATCAGAACAGACCCATTGAAACCAATGGATCCACATTAACCATGGCTGTCTGAAGCCCAATGATTTCTATGTGCGCATAGAAAGAAACAATTAATGCAATTCAAATATAAAATGTTTAACACCAGAACTAGCCTTTTAAAACCAGACCTCAGAAAAGACAAGGCAGTGAATGCAGCAAGCAAAGCATAATAATGTTGTTAATTTACAATGCAGATGCGAGTTCCCCCTCTCATCAGTTATAGGAAGACAAGGAATGAAGAAAGAGTAAAATGGCTACTGGCAAAATGGCAGATTCTATCCAATTACCAAGTAGCCAATAGAAAGATGATGGTACAAAGCAAAGCCCAGTCACGACCCACAATGCAGCTAGACAGACAGGGAAGCTTTATTTCCCCATCACCAGTGCAATCAGAAATCTCACAAACAAGGAAAGTGAAAGCGAAACAAATATTAAGGAAAAATAAAAAAGCAAGAAATTTAAATATTTTGTTTTAGAAGAAATTCAATGCAACCAACCGTGTCCTATATTTGATGTTTTCATGGATGAATATTTTGCAAGGTTATTTACAAGTTTTTGAATTTAGATAATATTTTTTGGGTTTTTTTGGTTTTGAGCGGCAGGGCAGGCAACATACAGACGGAGACATGGGTTTTTCGCATTGTATGTTGTTGATTGGATGGCGTGATTCAGCAGGAAGGGAAGGGAGAAATAAAACAGAAACAGAAAAACAAAAGAGAAAATGAGTCATTGGGAACAAAAGCATAAACTTTGTACGGGAAAGGGGAGTGAAGGTGCTTATTTTTAAAAAGTTACTTTTCTAAGAACAATAAAGGCCTGCAAGGAAACACAGTGCAATCAAACCATTTGCATTTTGTACCATAATGCAAATTAACACACACTTAACAAACACCTTTTTGGGGTGTCTTTTTAATATTGTTATTATTCCCAGGCAAAGAGAGAGATGCCAGTTTCATAATTTGCATTCAGAGAGATCCTGTCACAAATGTTTCCAAGTTTCCTTATGTGGCTAATGGCCAGTTCACACCACTGTGGACGCTTCCCAGCTGTCACTATTTTGGAACAGGATCCAATCACGTCAGATTCATGTTGCTCAGTTCTAGCTGATTATGAGTTCTTGCACAGCAAGCCTGATCTCCACCCCCATGAACCTTTCACGATAAGGAAAGTGACAGGAAAATGCACTGGAAAGTATAATGCTTGCTCTAAAGCGAGGGTCGGCAAGGCTTAGTGGCCATGGGCCAGATCACTCCAGCGGAGATCATGTGTGGGCTGGACTGGCACAGTGTGACACCAGAAACCGTGTCTGTGCATGCCCACATTGCTGGAAATCGCTTCTGCGCATGCCCAGATGCCAAAAATTGTACCCATGCAGAAGCAATTTTCAGTGTCTGGGCATGCACAGATGCAATTTCTGGTATCTGCACATGTGCATATGTGATTTCCGGTGCCATTCTGTGAGTCCCTGCGCTGTGCTGCTTTAGCGCAGTGTGCGGGGGACTAGCTGAGCGGGCAGCTCGGTTTGGGGGTGGCTTGTGGGCCGGTAAAACAGTATTTGTGGGCCTAATCTGGCCCATGGGCCGCACATTGCCAACCCCGGCTCCAATGCAACATCATATAATCTCCCCACAAACAAATCAGATTAGACATTCAATTTTAAAAAGCTAACATGGTGTAATCTTGCTGCAAACAAATCAGGAGGAATACTCAATGAACTGGTAGCTGGCAGCACCTAGTGTGTGCCCATTTACACTTACACATGTGGTGGGAAAGCCAATGGGATATGCAGTCAACACAATGCCATCCTACAGGATAGTTTGATTAAGTTGTAGGTGCACACCATGTGCACCAATCCCTGTGCCCTGAGACTCTGCAGTTTCTCAAATGCCCTTCTTACATGGTGCTTGCTTGGGCTAAGAGGCAAGGAGGGCCATCAACAATTGCAGGGTTTTTTCCATTGTTTATTGATTATTCTTTTTTATTCTATTGGTAGCTTTCTGAGGACACTGAAAGAAACTCTGAGACAAACATGGAATTGTACAGTTGGAAGGGATTTCCATAGGTCAACTAGTGCAATCCTCTGCAATGCAGAAATCACAGCTAAAGGAGCACTGACAGAAGGCTATCCAATCTCTTTTTAAAAACCTCCAGTAGAGTTGAGCTCACCACCTTAGGAGGTAGTCTGTTGTACTGTCAAACAGCTCTTACTCTCAGAAGCTTCTTCCTAACAATCAGAATCTCCTGGTTTAAGTAGTATTCTGGAGCAGCTTGCTCCATCTACTGTGTGACAGCCCTTCAGGTATTTAAATATGACCTCTCGGTCTTCTCTTTCCCCATGCTAAACATGCATGCTTACATGCTAATCAAACATAGCTACGACTAATTGTTAGAGGAAACACTTGTCATGAATATGTTCTTTTACTCCCATTGGAGTCACACACCAGAGCCTACATTAGCCTGTCTCAGCACGGTTCCTCCAAATGTTGTTGGGACTACAACTCCCACCATCCCTCACTATTGGCTATGCTGGCTGGTGCTGATGGGAGTTGGAGTCCAACACTTTCTACATTAAAATTTGCCCTGTGAAATGCAATTGAATCCTGCCCAAAAAGCAGTTAGTGGTGTAAATCAATTTGATCCTTTGCAGTCATCAAAGTTAAATTTAAAAGTCTTCCCTGTAAATCAGTTTGAAGTGAGTGCTGGCAGGGAAACTGACATACCTCCCTTTTATTTGCCTGCAGAGATAGATAGATAGATATAGATAGAGAGATATAGACAGAAGAAAGAAAGAAAGAAACATAATTCAAAGCACTCACAGAGGAAATTACAAATGACACAATAATGATGCTAAAAGAAAAACAAATTTATCAACACATTTTTTTCTCCTTTTATCTTTATGCCTTGGCACATCTGCTGGTTGCTGAGCCACTCCTCGGGAAAAAAGGGCAGTGGATGACCAGGTAAGCTGGCATTCTTGGATGAAGGTACTAGCTCTTGGATAGCTGCCCTGGAATACAAGCTGAGATCCCTGAAGCTTGCTATTCTTCTCAGAAGTGGCCCTGTCCACATAGCAGTGAGCTGTGTGGTCAAACTAAGGTCATGCCCAGATTATCTCCCAAGATTCCCCTTCCTATATGTGAGAATACAGGGTATCCAATGTTAACTCTACTTAGAGATGACCAACTGAAATTTTTAGGAATGGCTAACTTAAGTACAGTAACAGACCCACACTGAGTAAAACTTAGTTGGCTGCAACCCATAGGTCCATCAAGCTCAGTTTTGTCTAGGTTTACTGGTCACAGCTCACCAGGATTTCAGAAAGGGACCACTCCTATGCTCTAACACTGAGGTATTGATCTTCCATTTGTCTTGCTTTGACCATAGGAAACTGCCTTCTTCTAGGGCAAATCATGTTTTTCAACTATCTCAATATTTGTCTACTTTGAATGGTAGTGGCTTTCTAGGGTCTCAGACAGAATTCCTCTTCTCCCTCCAAAAAGCCCTGTTCCATTTTAATTTCATTTCACTGAATTTCACCGACAGTTTGTTTTTTTGTGGGGTGGGGTTTACTATTGTCAGTGAAAATAGCACAACTTCCTTATATTTTCCTAAGGTCTTGGCAAGTGGCTATTTTATGTTGGCTGCCATTTTGAATCCTTTGTGCTGCCCAAAATCTTCTGTTGCTGCAAGATAATGTGTGGTATGTGTGTGGTGGCCACACAAAACAGTGGAGAATATTCAGATAAATCCTGCAAAGTGGACCACATTTTCTACGCATGAGGGGGATGTGTGCAAAAGAGTAAATTTCAGCAATTCTGTTTACTGAGAAATTTTAGCTCAGCTCTGAGTAAAATTCCTGAATGGAGACATCATAAAAATGGGGTCTGAACATTCCAAAATTGCTGAGCTTGCACAGAGCAACTGGGAGAGAGCAGAGGAGGTGGGAATGGCTGCATACACAAATACCTCCTACCTTCCTTCACTGTTCAGAGACATAGTTTCATAAAAGACATGTTGACAGTAAAAGAATTTAAATTACTGGCATGTTGACAGTAAAATACAATAAATTCAAACCACAGATGGTTGAAAAATACATCATTGTACCAGTGACCAAACCAATTCAAAATATACACAGTACTGCCTGGGATAACACTGTTGGAGGGTTTACAAAAGTATTATTTCACTCCTATACATCTATACAACCAATGATTTCTTGGCTGGGTGGCCAACTCCAGAGGGGGAAAAGGATGCGGCTTCCAAGACTAGCAGAGGGTACATAGCTCCCCAAAGTGGTTTGCTGGGTGGGTCAGAGCTGCAAGGCTAGCTTCCTGGCAGGTGGTTACTGGTAGGGAGAGGAGCAAGGTGGCAGGCAGGTCAGCATGGTGCAAATGCACTGGCGAAGTCAATCTGGCACTGCTGCTGGTGCATTTTCCCTGTATGAATCTTCCTGCTGCCTTGCCCTTCTCACTCACCAGTAAGCAACAGCGATCCATCTGCTGGGAAGCTGGCATAGAGTTGCACTTCTCCATACAGTGAGCTGCTTCTGGCTCTATCACAGTGCAAGGGATGCCTAAGAAGGCTGAGGATGCTTCAGTTTGCAACAGTCAACTTCCTATTGCAGATTAAGGGAGCACGTTGAAAGTGCTCTGCTGGCGTCCCCATAACTGCTGCCAGTCCTAAAGCCAGCACTGTCTACAATTCAGCCAAGATCTCTTTGTTTCCCACCCCATCCATTCTCCCAGGGTCTAACTAGCCTGTGCTACAATAAGCACTCTTTATTCTTTTTCTTTGTTATTAATGTTTCTTTTCAAAGAAGAGTTTTCAGCCTCTTCCCAGCCGATGTCTCAGTAAAGACTCTGTCCTCCATTTAAATGCTTATAAAAATGCCTTTCGTAAAAATGTAACAATACTTTTTTACACTACACAAAATATAGAGCAGCAATGAAACATCAATAAAAAATCTCAGTGAATACTGATTGGTAAAAAGATAATTTACTATGTAGTAATTAGTATGGAAAGAGGGGGGAAACCCCTCCTATTGGTGCCACCGGTTCTAATTACTAGGGTGTGTGTTCACCAAGAACTCAGCTGGGAAAGGAATGCTAAAATCTTCTCTCTTCATGTGCTGTGGTGCTGATGATTATTCTCCTCTGCATCTGGAATTTTATTTATTTATTTAAAAAACAGTGACAAGATTGCTCATCACATTGTTATTGTCAGGCCCTCTGATTCTGTGTGCAATTTAGGAGAAGGATCTGGGATTGCAGGACCTGCTGGGGAATGACCAAAAAATGCACTGCCATAGACAGGAGAAAGAGGTTAAGAAAGAGCAATTGAAATAAAAACACACATATATCAAAGACGAGCACAAAACCAATTGTCCCTAACCTAACAAAGCAGAAGGACATGGTCAAGAAGGAAGCAAATATGAGGGGTGAGGAACCTGTGTCCCTCCATCTGTTGTTGGATTCCATCTCCCATCAGCCACCCAACAGTCAGGGTTGGTGGGAGATGGAGTCCAGCAACAGCTGAGCCTTTACCAACCACAGGCCTCTAAGAGGCTGTTGATCCCCAACTCCCATCTAGCCCAACCTGCATGGCCAACTTCTGGGTGGGCAACAGCTTTTGGAAAGGATGACCTGAACTATTTGGGAAGGGTTTACAAAATGGCATTGACTTCAGAGAAGATGCTGGAGGCTGCTTAATGCAGCTATGGCACCTTCCAGCAAAAATTATGCAAATTAAATGCATTTGAAATTGGGTTCCTGGTCCATCAGAGGGATTAGGAAAGTGCTTTGAAGGGAACTAACTCTATACCCTGACCACTAGGAACTCTACTAGCACAGCACTCCTCCTAGTTTCCTGAAATATTGTTCAAGGTTATCTTCATTTTCTTGAGGACAAGAAACATTTGGGGGGGGGGAGCAAAGAAAACAAAAAGGTGCAATTCCCAGTGGATTGTATCCAATTAAGTTCTACTCAGTGTAGACCTACTGAAGTGAATGAACTTTAACTTAATCATGACCATCTATTTTCTGTGTAAGACTACATTGGATACAACCCACGGTATTGAACTATACACCCAAATACCAAATTCCATACTTGGGCTTACTGTTGTATGGAATCACAGAATAGACCCAGTCCTCTTTCCATCTAAATCACTCTGCTAAGTGACAGAAGGGCAAAATGAAGGTCAGTGCAGATGTAATTATGTAACACAGACCCTTAAGTTAGCACTAAGGGACTGGGGCCAGGTTGGGAAATTATACATAGACCCTGTGCCCCAGACTCTCCTCTACTGCAGACACACACACCCTTTTGCAGACAAATTCCTGAACCAATCCCCTTTACTATGGTTGGAGGAGGGAACCAGGCAGTTTGAGACAAGACACAGTGGTCACTCTGGTGGAATCCTCATGGTCCTGGGAATTAGGTGATCCTGCAAAGGGGAATCTCATTCTCTGGAGGCCTTTGTACAGGAGAGAGGAGAGGTTGACCTTAACCATGGTTAATACAAAACCAATACTAATTATGGGACATAACATCTAGCCATGGTTAAGAAGCATGGGAGAATCCCCTGCATGTGAGAGGAAAGAGGCTGAGAGGAAGGGGAAGAGGGCACATGATTCGATAAGCTGCTCCTGTTTACTTACTCTAGTAACCATCTAACATTATATACCATTTACACCAGGAGTAAATAAATCCCCCCTTAGGTAGTTTATTCAAAAGCTCTTAATATTTATCCTAAATTTACATTGCAATTGTTGAATGTTGGCTTTGCAGCTCAGGTTCCTTCTATCATTTCTCCCAGTCTTCTGACAGACATCATTTCATAATGACCCACCAACAGACTGAGGAGAAGATCATCTGGCCTGCATTCCCCCCCAAACACCATTTTGTTGGCTAAAGAAAGCAAGTTTGCACAGTCTGTACTCACCGCAATCTCTGTTACTAAAATATCAGTAATACTTCCCAAGACTGTGACAAAATCAAAGATGTTCCAGGCATCACGAAAATAATTCTGTAAGATCAAAAGCAACAACAAGCAGCATTACTCAGAAGTTTAAACTGCATGCTAGGCTGCAATCCTCACCCCACTTACCTGACAGTAAACCCCATTTAATTCAATGGGAGTTACATCTTAGGAGACATGGGTAGGCTTGCATCCTAAGTCAGTTCTCTCCAATCTGATACCTTTCAGATGTTGGTGGACTACAACTCCCATAATCCCTGACCATCAGCTATGCTGGCTGGGACAGATTAAGTAGAAGTTGAACGACATCTGGAAAGCACCAGGTTAGTGATGGCTGATCTAAGTCATTTTTCTGGAAACTACAGACCTCAACAATTTGTTGTGTGCACCATGCAGTTTGATGGGAAGAGTGAGTTTCCTATGTTACACCACCCCTGAATTGCAATTTAGCTAGGAGGATCTCTAAAACGAATTGCAGAATTGCAGCAGCCTCATAAAGCCACAAATGCTACAAGCCTGCAAAATATTTTACGCCATCTGCTAAGAGGTTGGAACCTAAATTTTGATGCTGGTTGCAGAGAAGGGAAGGCATCCTTCTTAGTCTGATCTATGGTCCTGACTAGGAAAGGAGCAGAACATAAGAAGAGCCCATCCAGACTAGCATCGTCTTCTCACAGGGGTCAACCAGGTGCTCCAATGGGAAGCCCTCAAGGAGAACCTGATAACTTGTGATTCCTGTCAACTTGTATTCAGAGGCCAACTAATTCCAGTTTCTTCCCCATTGCCACCCTCATTGCTAACAGGCAGTGCTACTCTCTTGCACTGGTTTTAAGTAAGAAGCCAGGCAGATGGAGACTGGTTGGGAACAGAATGAGGTTGGTGGGGCAGTGTCCCATTCACCCTAATGCAGCAGCCTCCGCTGATCAAGAGACGTAATGGAGCAGCCTCCAGGCTTCCAATAGTGGAGGCAGAACATAGCCATTGTGAGGCAATGACTTTGGAAAGGCCACAGATTTCCCCCACTCCTGCTTGACAAAATTCAGCAATAAAGCAAAAAGAATGGTACACTTTTGAAACAAAACCAAATTCATTGGGAACAGCAAAAACCCAGGGAGAAATATGAAGAAGTGGGATTTCAGGAGCATTTCTGGTGCTGGATGAGAGAGGACAATGAAAAAAGCCAGCTCATACCAGGGCGCCAAAGGCAATGATCTTCAGCACACACTCCAGAGAAAACATGGATGTAAACACAATGTTGAGGCATTTCAGCATATCTTCATATGGCTGTGGGGCACCATAGAACTAAATCAAAGAGAAAGAAAACAGGTTACTGGAAAACATGGGTTGCAATCACTCATGCATTGCAGGGTGTTGGACTAGATGACCTTTGGAGCACCAACCATACAATCCTATTATTCTTAAACTCTTAAAGGGTTTTTTAAAGTTCAGTTTCATCCTTGTTATTCTTTTTTTTTTTAAAAAAAGATGTTATTAATGATTTTGTTGTGTTACAAAATAGACAAGTAAGTGGAGAAAAATGCAACTGGGGGTAAAGAGGGAAGGGTGATGGGGGGTTGTTCTTTCATTCTACTGCCTAGTGTTAGTGTAGGGGTTTGTGTCAGCATCATGTGGATAGGTCCTTTGTATATATATTGATTTGTATGCTGTTGCGGCAGGGATAGGTCACTGACCTGTTGTGCTGTGATATGATAAAGGGGAACCAAACTGGGGTAAAGGCATCCTTTTTCCCCCTTGTCCTTGTGCTAATTTAAGTTTTCTGGCTAACTTTTCTAGTAGGGCAGTTTCCCATGCATTTTGGTACCAGTGGTCTATGTTCACTCCTGATAGGTCTTTCCAGTGTCTGGTATCTACAATATATAAAATATTACTCCAAGACACCACAATTAAAAATCAATGAGAACACATCATAGGATACGAAATAAACTCTACCCAGTGGTCAAAAATGTGGTCTAAACCACCATTTAAATTCATCTCAGTCAAAAAAGAGAGAACACTCTGAAACTTATCTACGATGCTACCTAACACCAAGGAAGTTTTCACTAAGATACCCAGAAACCTCATCTAAATGCTGGAGAGGCTGCACCTCCATAGGCACATACCTCCACTTGTGGTGGGAATGCCCCAAAGTGCAATCCTTTTGGATATCAGTGCTGCAGAAAAATCTCCAAAGTAACAAAACAGGTAGTAGAAGTAACTCCAGAATCAGCCTTATTAAATATCTTCGAGCATAAAAACGCACATGCACATGACAAGGAACTCATAAGTCACTTACTCACAGCAGCAACACCCTCCTACTTATTCTTTATTGTTGAAGTTTGTTAATGTTCATGCAAGAGCCAGGAAATGTATTGCCTTTGTTTCCATCATAGCAGGGATGTGGAAAAATGTGGCCCTCCAGATGTTGTGGAACTACAACTTCCATCACCCTTAATCATTGGCCATGGTGGCAGGGGTTGATGAGAGTTAGTCAAACAACACTTGGCTGGTCAGAGGTTCCCTGCCCATGCATTAATAGCATATGATGAGCCTGTTGGATCAGGCTAGTGTCCAATCTAGGTCCAGCATCCTGTTCTTACAGTGGCCAGATGCTTATAGGAAGTTTGAAAGCAAGACCTGAGTGCAACATCACTCTCCCCTCCTGCAGGTTCCAGGAGCTGGTATTCGGAAGCTTGTGGCCTCCAACAGTGGAGGGAGAACATGACCATCAAGGTCAGTAGCAGCTGATAACCCATTTCATTAAGTACTCATTGAATTATCACACCATGGTTTGTCACTGCAACTCTCACAAGAACTGCTAGCTCCCCTGCACCCTTCAAAAAAAAAAGGCAAGGAAATCAGCAACCTTCATCATCAGCACGATGGTGTTGAGTGCGATCATGACCATAATGAAATACTCGAAAGGAGGAGACACCACAAACTTCCACATCTTGTACTGGAACGACTGCTTGTTTTGAGGCATGTAGCGGGTCAGGGGTTTGGCACTTATGGCAAAGTCTATACAGGCCCTCTACAACAAAAGGAAGAGAGTGGGGAAAATCAATAGAGAAAAAGATCTGCTCACAGTTTTCACCTGCATCCAGAGTTAAGGAAAAGCTTCCAGATCCACAGTTGGCTCCTTTACATGCCTAGCCAGGAGTAAGCTATGAGGAAGGGCCATAGCTCAGTAGTAGAGCCTATGCTTTGCATGCAGAAGGTCCTAGGTTCAATCCCTGGCATTTCCAGGTAGGGCTGAGAGAAAACTCTGTCTGAAATTCTGGAGAGTCATGTGCCAGTCAAGGTAGACTGTACTGAGCTACCTGTTTAAAGTGTCTGACTTATACGGACACTTCTTATTAGGGGAATACCACTCATAGCTCAGTGGTAAGAGCATCTGCTTTGCATGCTCCCAGTAGGGCTGGGAGAGACTCCTTGTCTGAAACCTTGCCAGCCAGTGTGGACAGTACCAAGGAAGGTGGACCATTGGTCTGACTCTGTATCAGACAGCTTCCAATGCTAACACAATGGGATGGGTTAAGCTGCAGATGTCCTGGCATATAATGGAAATACTTTGATTTGCAAATTGATGTCGAGATATCTAATTTTGTCAGGGAGGCAAAAATCCCTTATGGCTGGATGCTTAGCTAACCCTGCAAATATGAAAAAAGAGCCTTTCTCCATCTGGTATCCTGAGAGAGTACCTCATTTTTCTCAAGGCTGCATTCAGACATCACTTTGTCACCCTGCTCCTGGAAGGTGATGATGATCAAAGCCACAAAGATGTTCACGAAGAAAAAGGGGAAGACGACAAAATACACCACATAGAAGATGGACATCTCCATCCGGTACCCAGGACTTGGGCCTTGGTTCTCATACGTTGCATCAACAGAATGCTTTAAAACACTGTGAGAAGGAGGCAGAGAAGGAGCAGGCAGAGATTTGGATGAATGGCTGTAACTCTGCATCTACTTTGCATGTAGAAGGACCCCACCCCCCAACCCACCACAAGGCACTAACGTGCCATACAAACTTACGTTGGCCACCCCTCTCCTGTGGAAACAGTGAAGAGTGTCAACAGAGCCCAGAGGACATTGTCATAGTGGAATTCGTATTTCTTCCATTGCCTGGGCTGAGCTTGCACATCATCTTTTGCATAATCGAGATACTGGCCCCTGGAAGGAAGATGGGACACAGAATCAAAACAGGAGAATGTGGAGCTGGGCCTCACTTATGATCGGTGCTGATACCCTCAAATATGCTGCCTCCATTAACCGCCATTGTAATTATTTACTGCTCTTTTTCTTCCTCAGAATGTAAGTTTAGCATTGTCAGTGTGAACAAATGCTAAGCTATATAGCATCAAAGGTTGACTCTGTATATGGCAGAATCCTGTTTGCAACTGCATATTCAAAGGCTTCAGGTATGATCTGGAAACCTGATTGCTCCAGATTGTGTGGAATTTTTTTGCATAAACAAGGGCTCTATTCTTGCAGATGCTCATGTTATATATGTGTGGATGCCAAGCTCATCACCCCATGTGGTGAAGGCTGGAGGCAGCCACATGGTCTCATTCATGCATTGGTTGACATGTGGGTGATAACTTCTGAATGGGGTGTTTGTGTTAGGAATAGAAGAAGATGAGCTTGCTGGATCAGGCCAGTGGCCCATCTAGCCCAACATCCTGTTCCCACAATGGCCAACCAGAAGCCTATGGAAAGCCTGTAAGCCGTGCTCTCTGCTCCAGCAACTCTTCTTCAGGATACTGCCTTTGACTGTGAAGGCAGAACACAGGTATTAGCCATTAATAATGATCCTCCATGAATTTGTCCTTTAAAGCCATCCAAGTTGATGGCCATCACTAACGTATGTGGGAACGAGTTCCACAGTCTAACTCTGCATTGCCTGAAGAAGTACCTTGTTTTGTTTGTCCTAAATTTTCCATCATTCAAGTAGGACCTGAGCAAAAAAAGCCCTCTCTCCTCCTGAGGTTTCCATCAACTGGTCACCAGAAGCATACTGCTTCTGATAGTGGGAATAGAATATAGGCATCAGGGTTAACAGCCATTGACCCTGAAGGCTACATTCTATCTCCACAGTTGGTGGGTGGTATGCTTCTGAATCATTGCCTGCTTGCCACCCATGGAACCAATGAGCAAGTAGGCAATGGCAGCTCCTTCTCCTCTTCCTGCTCACCACTACAGTTGTTGTTATCTGCTTGTTCACTCCCTCTTGGCATGAGGGAGAGGCCAGCGGTCTGCAAATAGTAAAGAGATGCTGGAGATCCAGGAGACCCTTGTCACTGCACCGCTTGCTCAGACCTTGGAAGAACTAGTTCAAGTTCAAGTTCAACTTGTCTCCCAAGGATCTAATTCCAGTTCATATTTGTCCTTTTACAAACCAAACCAGTTCACATTTAGTTCATAGTTCAACCAAATGGTCATTGGGGAAATCCCCCCCTCCCCCCCCCCCCCGGCATTCAGAATATTACAAACTGCTGTGCTGAAGTATAAAAGCAGGAGTAAGAAAACATCAAAACACACATACAGGATGGAACATAAATTGTTTATTTCCCCAACCATTATTATTTTTAAGTTCAAAGGCATTCTATGAGGAGTAGAAAAACACATGTAAGAGAACAAACATGAAGATGAACTAGAAATCATTCAAATTCTCCGAAAGTTAATCCACGTTCAGTTCACCCAGCAGTTATGAGTACTTTCGGCTGTAGTTTAGAGTTTTTGGCATTAGTTCACTGAACTTCATTAATCTGAACTAGTTCACTTCAAGCTCTGGGGTAAGAGCCATAAATCAGTGATTGAGCATGGGCTATGCATGTGTATGGTCCCAAGTTCAAGTCCTGGCATCTCTGCCTGAGACCCTCTGCCCCAAATCCTGGAAAGTTTCTGCCAGTCAGTGTAGAGAAACTGAGCTAGATAGACCCAGTGGTCTGACTGTACAAGCTACCTATGCTTCCTGAGTTCACTGCTCTTGCAGGGGTACAGGACCTCAGCAGGAGCCCAACCCTTCACACTGGAGCTGTTCTCAAGCTCTAAATTCCTGCATTGCAAGGGAGAAACGCTAGAACTTGTAACAGGACTAGATTACCCTTAGGACCCTTCCAATGTGACAATTACAAGATTCTATGAAAAGGCACTTGACCATCTTCTAGTGACCAGGTCCCTGAGCTTCTCACACACCAGTCACAAGGAAGGACACAGCAAAGGAGATGCCCCATCCCTCCAGCCAAAGCTTAGCTCAGGTCTTTTCAATCAGGTCATACTGTGCATCAAAACATATTTATCTGTTTGATCTGGGCACCTGCAGTCTTTTTCCAGCTCCTTGGACTCGTCCGTGCAGTAGAAGAATCGCCCTTTGAAAAGCTGCACCGCTATGACTGCAAAGATGAACATGAAGAGCATGTAGACAATGAGGATGTTGAGGACATTCTTCAGAGAATTCACCACGCAGTCAAAGACTGCCTGCATATAAGAGGGGGGGGGATTCAGAAACAGAATCCATGGTGAAGTATAAATCAAAGCAATTTACAGCAATAAAAACATAAAACCATACAATAAAAACCATTAAAAACGGACAGCAATTAGCCATTTTGGAAAGATGTATTCTTAATTGCCTGCATAGGCCTGGTGGAATAGAAAAGCTTTCAGCAGGTGTTTAAAAGTTGGCAGAGAAGTCGGCAGAGTATTCTTATAAAGCCAGATTGGCTTGGATCCTGCCCTCTGCAATGGGAAAAGCTCCTTCTGTCTGTGAAGTGGGATTCGGTGGATATGAAGAGATATGGCACAGGTGACTGCAGAGGCAGGTCCAGGGATAAGGAATAGCAAGGGAGAAAGTGGAAGAAGGGACTGGCAGCAGGGGTCAAGGGTAACAAATCAGTAGAGAGGGAGGGAGCAGCAGCAATTGGAGAGACCAAGGTAATCATGGATGGATATGAAGAACAGAGATAGGCAAATCTATCAGTTTTCATTTCTCTTCATTTCTCACTTTACCTATCTTAAGAGCAGCTCCTCATCAGCTTTCAAAAAAAAAAGTCTTCATGAAAATTCATCAGCATTTTAGTGTGGTATTTTTTTTCTCAGTAGGCACATTTTTGTATACCAGTTTGCCCAATATTTACATTTTCCCATAACATGTTCACTTTTGAATGTCCCTTCACGAATATGTGCATTTTCATGCATACTTTCCACCAATATTTTGTCCACATTATTTTCCCTAATTTTTGTCTGCAGCTGAAGAACTGCAGCGCAAAATTTGTCCAATTTCGAAGTGTGTTTTGGTCCTTGAATTGTTTTGGAAAATGGCAAATTAGGTCAGTTTGCCTTGAAATGTGAACCAAATCAAATCCCACCCCCCACATGCATACTCAGAAATGAGATTATGCACTACCTCATCTGCCAGGGCAGATGGGTTGAGGATTACATCATACCTTCAGCTTTGGCAAACGTTTGATGGTCTTCAGAGGCCGAAGAACTCTCAGAACTCTCAGGGACTTGATGGTGTTTATATCTTTGCCTTTGTTCCCTCTGCAAGGCAAGAGCACACAAGGGACAAATGAAGACCTTTGATTCTTGCAAGATTCAGGCAACCTGGAAAATCCTCACCCCAGGCTGGACACTGCTGCAAACCCAACCAGGTCCACTCAGAAGTGAGTCCTGCTGTATTCAATGGGGCTTATTTGTGTGTAAGTGGGGTTTGCAGCCCAACAGTGCAATCCTAACTGTGTCTACTCAGGCATAAGTCCTGTTGAATCTAATGGGACTTACCTGCAGGCAAGTGGGGTTAGATTGCAGACTAAGCCCTCCCCTCCCCCCTGAACATGGCTCAATCTCTTTTGGTGTGGCATAACAACATAGCAAAATGCAGGTAAATTTTATTTTCTGCAAGGTTGAACAAAAAACAGAAGGTACAACATATGAGGATATGGTTATGGGAGCTCCTGCTGGGGACTTCTGCCCCAACTGCCCCCAATATATCCCAGCCTTATATTTGAATTTTCAGCTTTTTTTCATTACCCCCACCCCAGAAAGTCCCCACTATGCAGAAACTCCAAGGAAATACATGCAACCAGACATTCCACCCAGTTGCTCCCACCTCCTAATATTTCAGCCAATGAATGCAAAGGCACTGGGATGATTGACAAGTACTTAGGCAATAAGTACCTAAAAATAATTTGAGATTAAATTTTATTTTATTAAAATTAATCCAATGAACCAAATCACTTTAAGAAGCATACCTCTTATATTGAGATGTTTGCTGTTTCATATAGATTAAAGATGCCCCTATTTATGCCCACTCTCTCACACTCCAGGCTTTTAAAATGTGTAACAGCCTACGTTTGTCAACCATGCCCAGGCATTTGATGAAGACCCTTTCACAAAATGTAGGGGAGGAGGAAAATCTATTTTCAAAGGGAAGGAGTCAGCAGAGTTGTTATCCGTGTCACCATCAGAGCTGGACTTCAGGGCAGACGCCCATGGCCACCATCAGCAGGATGAGCAGGAAGGTGCACAAACTCAGCAGTTTGCATTGTTAAGTTACATACATTACCATCTGTAGAGTGGTGGAGGTGTAGGACCATCAAACCCTGAGTCTAAAATTGCCCATCTGCACCACTGGCTACGATTCTTAATGGAAGGAGGGTGGCGGTGGAATCAGATCTAACCTTTCCCTTTCAATTGGGGTGGGGAATCTTTTTGGCCCAGTGTGCCAGATCTTCATCTCCCCCACCCCCTGGGACAACTTGGGTAGGTGGGCAAGGACCACCCACCTGTCAGTCAACTGGCATAATGATGGCAGGTGATTCCCAGGTGGGCGATCTTGCCTACCTGCCAATGAGGAGAGATTGTGGGGAGATTGTGACCAAGCAGGACTGAACTCCACATGCATCATCTGATATATCAGGGGTTCAGTCTTGCTTTCTCCAGGGATCAGCGTTGTAAGCACCCAATCCAGCCATGTTTCTACATGGCAGGTGTAGGACAGATGGGCAGGGTCTTTGGAAAACAGCCTTGCAGGCCAAATCCAGCTCACAGGCTGGAGGTTCCTCACCCACTGCTATAAATATATTACCCCTCACAGGGGAAACCTTTTGGTGACATACAGCTACCCTGAAGGATGCATCACGAGGAAACGCCTCCCTAGACTAGGGAGCCTGTGGCCACCTAGATGTTCTGGGACTCCATTATTCCTATTTATTGACCATGCTGGTTAAGACTAGCAAGAGTTGGTCCAACAACACATGAAGGCTCATAAGTGTCTTATCCCTGCTCTAGGCAAACAGAGAGAGAAAGAAGATCATGATGGTGAACCAAAGAAGACACATGTCCCTCAGTCTGAAAGACTCCATTGGTTTGCTTGCTTTTCCATCTCATGGGCCCTGCCTAGTTCCCTCTTAAGACGGCATGCCACTAAAACCATGCCAAGCCATGTAATATATGCACACATATTACATGCCTGTAGTGATAAGCGGTGGTAACTTCTGAACTGTTCATGCACATGTGTGGGTTTGGAGAGGTGGTGGTGGTGGTAATGGTGGAGTTATAGCCAACAGAGGTTGGTGGCATTTCTTTCTACTCAAGCGTGCAAAGTTCATTTTTAAGGCAAAGGTCTCTTTGCCTCCATATCAGCATCTGGAATGGGAGGAAAAAGGTCCCCCACTCCTATATTAAAGTAGTGAGACAGGTCAATCTGCTTGGGAAAAGTAAATGAAGTCATTCAGAAGGGCTCTTTGTTAAGAAGCAGTGGAGGTAAGAATGGGAGGCTCTGTCAAGTTTGGTTTCTCTCAGTTTCACATTTTTCCAATCTAGGTCATTTCTCCAAGTTTCAACATGTATGCAATTTTTTTTAAGTCGTTCAGAAAATTCATCAGTATTTTAGTGAGCATTTATCTAAATATATACACTTCTGTATGCAATTCTTCCTAAGATGCATGTTTTTACAAAGCTGTTTCTCCTGATATAGTGCATTTTTGCACATCAAATGCACACTTTACCCTGTTATGTGCATTTTTGCACACTTTACCTAGCTAGAGATCTGCACTGCAAAGTTTTGCAAAGTTCTAATTTTGAAGGCTGGCTGATTCATTTTGTGTATCGTTCTGTAAATTGTGAATTAGGTAGTTTGGGGTTTAAATGCAAACTGAATAGAATCTCTCCCACCAAAATCTCCAGTCTGAAGGTAGTCTTCAGCTGCAGCTAAGTCTTACTATGGCTAGAGTAAATTTATTAACTGACAAAAAGCCAGTTTGCTTGTTGTCATTTTTTGATGACGTACAGTCAATTCATTCTCCAGGCAGACAGAGGAGACCAAGTAGTTTGGCCTCTTAAAAGGAGGCAATTTCATCCAGGGCAGGTGTGGGACATCTCTGGTTCTTCAGATGTTCCTGAACCCCAACTCCCGCCATAACTGGCCTTTAGTGGGGCTGATGGGTGTCATAGCTGAGCGACATCTGGAGGGCCAAAGGTCCCCCACACCTTGTCTAGGGATATCCATACCCAGGAGTTAAATAGAAAACAGACTTATCTGTAGCAACTTATAATACAAATACCTATACAAAACCTCATATGCAAAACCTCTTTTGTTCCAATGGAGGGACGCAAGATAAAATGACCCACATTAAAATCATAGCTAAAAAAAACCCTTGGTGAATAGGGAGGTCTCTACCTTATGCTAAAAAAATAAACTGCACAAATCAGGTGGCAGGTGAGGCTCTCTGGGGACGATGTACCTTCCCTCTCTTTACCTGAGTCTCCTCTTTTGACTTCCATATTGTGTTGATGAGATTGCTGTATTGTATGTTTTATGGATGTTTGGATTTTAATGGATTTTAATGCTTGAGTCTACCTGTGAACTGCTTAGAAGCCTATTTTGACATTAAGTGGTGTACAAATTAAATAGCAGTACTGTTAATAACAACAGCAAAGGAGCCATTATCTGAAGAGCTCTAGGCTTGGTGACCATGTACCTCACTTCACTTAGGATCACTTAGGACACCTGGATCACAGCCTTTAAAGAGAGCCTTTGGGGGGGGGTGTCATCTTTCAGATAAGTTTTTATGACTCCAAAGATTAAAGCCAACTCTTCAGGTTGATTTGTAGGTTAAAGCTAGCACTGGGAAAGATCCTGGGAGCCATTGTGGCAAGTATAGCATTTGCATAATACAACTGGCATAATCTCCAGGCCCAATTAACAATCCAATTTTGGTCCTGTTGCAATTCTAGGCTTGATTTTAAAGGCACTGCAGTCGTTGAAGTGGACGGCTCCCAGAACAGCTAAGCTCCGGGGCAGCACAGAGGGCATGGCTGCAATAGCATAAACCCAGCTGAAAGCTAACATGGGCAAAACATGAGCCCATTAGCTGAGGAAAGGCAATGTCACCAGATACTGAGAAAAATGACAGGCAGTGATGGAATCAGCATGACACAGATTGCCGGGAGGGTGTGGCTGTGTGAATGTGCAGGCAATCAACAAGCTGGCAAGGGACAACAGTAATGCATTACCCCATGAAACTCCTACAGAGAAGATCCCAGCGAGAAGAAGAGAAAGAAAGAGCAGAGCGTCAGTGGTGGGGAAGAAACACGCATCTATGCAACAACTCCAAAGCAATGACACAGAAGGTAACACCAAGGAAATCGGACCTCCACCCTCTCCATTTTCACAAAGCAAACGGGAAAGTGAAACAACCACGTGCTTGCATAGCTGGCCAAAGACATATTTTCAGTTTAGTGGCATGGATGGAAAGTCCCTTTCAGTCAAAGTGGCCTTCCAGATCATCCAGCTCCCATTACCTCCCATCCGCTCTGACCATGGGCCACACTGACTGGGGTGAATGGGAGTTTGTGTCCAACAAGAACTGACAGGCCCCACGTTGGACTTTGGCAGTGGAGCCCCAGATGCAAATGTCTCTTCAGGCTGTGAAATTTATCAGGTGATTTTGAGCCAATCGTTTTTCACAGCCTAACTTACCTCACAAGGTTGCTTTGCAGCTAAAGGGGAGATTTCCCCAACCACATACACTACCTTGAGCACCTTTGAGGAAGGTTGGGTTAAACAAAATGTCAGCAATAATAATACTATGCACTGATTGTAGGTTTTATGTTAGCAGGTATCCCACTGGAGTTAGCCTCTCCTCTCATTTCCTCATCCATCCATTGCAGCTCATCACTTCTGGTTCAAGCCACGGAACAGCAGGCAAAGGATAAACTATATGAGAGTGAGGCAGTTTTGGTTTTCACTGTTAACATCAATTTTTGTCAAGTTTCTTATTTTTCTAATCATAATTTTAGTTCCACATAAGTTCGCTTTTCTTTTTTAAGTCCTCATGAAAATTCACCACCATTTTAGTACGCATTTCTTTGGAAGGATACCTTTTCGCAAGTGGCTTTTTAAGATATACGCAGTTATACAAGCAATTGCCCCTATTACAAGGGTGCAGAACCTTCAGCCCTCCAGATGTTGCAGGACTACAATTCCCATCAGCCCTAGCAAGCACAACCAATGGCCAGGGATAATGGGAGGGTGTAGT